CTGACCGTAGTTAGACCTGAAACTATTATGTGAAATGCAATTATACAGTAAATACTTTAGCAAGAAAAGTCTGTTGGATGATGTGCGTTATCTGATAACTGTAATATTTTATTACACAATAGGAGTATCTGACTCATGCAGACAGGAAAACTGGTGCATTATTATCTTCCCCTCCCTGCCAGCGATTCTCTTTTGTTAGATTAACAACTCTCTCTGTGCCAAAGGCAAAAATAAATGTAATGAATTATTCCTTTCTCTGGCACACATTTAATTATCACCTGAACTAGCCCGGCCTGGTTACCTTAAACTACTACTTTAATTACTTACAGTAGATGTAAAAGGCACACTCGTTGGCTTCTGTTAAACCACTAATCACTTGACATATTCAGCCAATCATTGTCTGTCAAAAAACGTTAGCAATACAGCTCAAAAACAGTTTGACAAAGAACCAATGGGCAGCACGTGCCATCAGATATCTCTAATCCCTACTTAATCATATAGTGGTTATAGTGATAAGACTGCAACTTTAGAATTCAGTGTTTATATTACATGCAATCCATGTAAGTGCTTCACTATATGTCCCTGTTTGCCACCTTATCAATGCGCGTGATACGATAGAACTTCACGGTAAATTTTTCATCGCGGATGCAATGTAATGCAAGCTACAATTTAAAATATGAATAATGTCTGTGTTTTAAATTTCCGTATTCTTTGGTATTTTCCCTTATTTGCAATTCAGGTGTTAATTTATATGTTTGGTAGGCAATATTTTGTATAAATACAATTAGACCACACAATAAACACAGACAAAGTTTCTTGACTTTTCCATGGGCTTGGCTGTGCTGTTTATTCAGAGTTTATGGGGCTTAGAGCCATAAGTTTAATAATGATAAACATGTAAGATAAACTTTTAACCTTTTTAAAACTTTTACATTTATTAACCACCAAATTGCCAGTCAGTCTTAGATGATCTGACTACCTTTTATTTAAATCCTTTTACCACCATATCCTTCCTCAGAACTTGACCCTGAGGATGACTTTTGCCCCAATTCTTTATAACACCATGACAATACAGTTAAAACAAAATTAAAGGGAGACAGTCCGTCCGCGCCACTCTTGCCTCAGTAACCACTGACAGGATTGCGCTTGAGCTGCTGCATTTTATTCTGTCCCAGCTTCCCATGGTTTTAATGCTCGCACCCTTAACCCAATCCCAGGCAGCTCCAATCCCCAGAAACAGTAGTGTCACAACTTCTGTTCTGCTACTGTGTAACTGTCCAACTGACACAAAAAAATTAAAGGGACACTATAGTCACAAGAAGAACTACAGCTTATTGTATTTGTTCTAGTGAGTTGAATCATTCTCTTCAGGCTCTGTGCAGTAAACACTGTCTTTTCAGCTTAGGGATACCTCCACTGGCCCCTCCTCAAATGGCTACTAGAGCTGCTTCCTGTGACTTGCATTCAGTGTCTCAACCTTCTGCATGGAAGAAAAAAGAGGATTGCACTCAATCATAAAAAATCACAGGGTGCTAACTGAGCATGGGTCAGAATATCCAATAAGACCTAGTATAATCAAAAAAAGTCAGGCACTCACTATGGTAGATTTAAAGGACCACTATAGTGCCCTGAGGGTGCCCCCACCCTCAGGGTCCCCCTCCCGCCCGGCTCTGGGGAGAGGAAAGGGGTTAAAACTTACCTTTCTCCAGCACTGAGCGGGGAGCTCTCCTCCTCCGATCCTCCTCTTCTCCTCCCATTCGGCTGAATGCGCTCGCGCGGCAATAGCTGCGTGCGCATTCAGCCGGTCTCATAGGAAAGCATTTACAATGCTTTCCTATGGACGCTTGCGTGTTCTCACTGTGAAAATCACAGTGAGAAGCACGCAAGTGCCCTTTAGCGGCTGTCAATGAGACAGCCACTAGAGGATTTGGAGGAAGGATTAACCCATTTATAAACATAGCAGTTTCTCTGAAACTGCTATGTTTATAAAAAAAAAAATGGGTTAACCCTAGCTGGACCAGGCACCCAGACCACTTCATTAAGTTGAAGTGGTCTGGGTGCCTAGAGTGGTCCTTTAAGCAGGTTTATTGGACACCGCAACGTTTCAACCTGCACCCAGGTCTTTTTCAAGCTAAAAAAAATAAAAATTGAAAAAGACCTGGTACAGGTCAAAACGTTGTGCTGTCCAATAAACCTGCTAAAATCTACCACATTGAGTGCCCTACGATTGTTTGTTTATAACCCTCGGCTTGGAGACACACTGAAGTTTCCTCGTGGAGATGCAGTGATTTAATACATCTCTATGAGGAGATGCTGATTGGCCAGGGCTGTGTTTGACTTGTTCTGGCTCTGCCTCCTTGACAAGCTCAACCAATCCAAGGCTTCCCTATGGGAAAGTATTGTGACTGATTTTGATCAAGACTTCTGATGACGTCAGCCAAGTGAAAGGGTTAATTTACTTCTCTTTAACTCCCTCAGTTCTCGAATCTCCAGGTCCCCACATCAATTGTTGGGAGCTTCTTGTTTAGCAAATAACGAAAGACACGAAAGAGTGCTTAACATTTCTCAATGAGTATATTTTCAAAGCTAGCATTTATACACAGTTTGTCACGCAAGCAGCGAGATTTATCGCTACCTTATAGTTAATAGTACATACTTGTCTGACATTAAAAAGATAAGCATTTGAATAAAGACGGGACAGGAACATCCTGAAGTCGAGCGAGGTCATACATCCTGTAAAAGGGAGGCCTCTCAGAGCATGTTACAGAATACATCTGCCAAGGTCAGCATAATTATTTCAAACATTATTTTAAAGCATATAAAGCAAAAAGAGTTTAACTATTTCATATCCTTACAGTCAGCACTAATGATTATAAACCTTATCTAAGCATAAAATACATATGAACAAGAAATGTTAACTACTTCATATCCTTTCACCAAGTAGGCAGATCAGGGGCAGAGCCAGCAGCAGCAGACTAAGGTAAAGGTATGATTTTACTATATTTAGGGGAGCAGGGAGGCTAGCTGGTGTTTTTAACACTATAGGGTCATGAATAAATGTTTGTGTTCTTTAAAAAGCTTTCTTACCCTTGGAGGGGGTGAAATGGCAGGACATCTGGGAGGAATGCACACAGGTATCAATGTGCGTGACTCTCCAGGAACAGTCCTACAAGACGCTTTTTCGGTGGTCTACCACCCCGGCGAAGCACTACCATACGAAATGAGTCCCCACAGATGCCTGCTAGCGTCAGTGTGGCAACAAAGGTACCTACATCCATATGTGGTGGTCCTGTCCAGTGGCAGCGACCTTCTGGCAAAAGGTGATGGAGATGGGATCTCACATTATGCAACGAAGACTAGAACTAGATTCCTTGGTATGTCTGTTCTCAAGTCCGAGTGAGTGCCTAACTAGGCATGAGCAAAAACTCTTGAACATGATATATCTAGCGGCCCAAAGGGCCTTGGCACAGAAGTGGTCATGCTTGGAGGCCCCTACACTCAAACTAGTCACTAATAAAATCTATCTCATGGACAAGTTAACTGCCCAAGTGTGGAATACTACCACAACGTTCAGCAAGGTTTGAGATCTGTGGGAGCAATTTAACACTAGCTGGAACCCCACCTCGGACACTACAAAAGGTAACATACCACGAGATGAGGGGGCGGGGGAGGGGCAGGAATGGGGGACAATACACTTTTGGTCCAGTTAATTCAGCAATTTACTTTTCTTCTGTTTATTTCACGTTCTGTACTATATAAACTTTGACGAAAGCACACTGGGCCCATAGTAGCGGGAGTGGCACCTCATATTATAGGGATTTCCAGCCAAATCGAATGGGGGTCCTTCTGATCTGACCGCCTGAGAGCATAGGGAAAAAGAGGGCACGACCCACCACCTAACAGGACAGCTACCGGTTATGACTTAAAGGACCACTATAGTGCCAGGAAAACATACTCGTTTTCCTGGCACTATAGTGCCCTGAGGGTGCCCCCACCCTCAGGGACCTCCTCCCGCCCGGCTCTGGGGAGAGGAAAGGGGTAAAACCTACCTTTTTTCCAGCGCCGGGCGGGGAGCTCTCCTCTCCGCCTCCGATCCTCCCATTCGGCTGAATACGCATGCACGGCAAGAGCTGCGCGCGCATTCAGCCGGTCTAATAGGAAAGCATTCATAATGCTTTCCTATGGACGCTTGCGTGTTCTCACTGTGATTTTCACAGTGAGAATCACGCAAGCGCCTCTAGCGGCTGTCAATGAGACAGCCGCTAAAAATCACAGTGAGAATCACGCAAGCGCCTCTAGCGGCTGTCAATGAGACAGCCGCTAGAGGATTTGGAGGATGGATTAACCCACTTATAAAAATAGCAGTTTCTCTAAAACTGCTATGTTTATAAAAAATGGGTTAATCCTAGAGGGACCTGGCACCCAGACCACTTCATTAAGCTGAAGTGGTCGGGTGCCTAGAGTGGTCCTTTAACTTAACTTCTGTCTCTATCCCTAACACCTATTTTTCCTCCCCTATTTCCTACTCTACTGGAAATATAAAATGAGGCAGTAGCAGAGTACACCAGCGACGTTCAGCGACAGACCCTTATCGCCTGCGTGCAATTCTCCAGAGACTATTAAGTACCAAAGGTTCATATTACAGTATTCTCATGTGATGCACTGCTACGCGAATCATGTTATTCAGTGTTATTGTCTTTTGACTTATGTACTCACTGAACCATCTGATATCTACCTTATCTACTTGCCTTTACTGAAAATAAAGAATATTAAAAAAAAAAAGAAAGCTTTCTTGCATTCCAATGGACGAGGCAGATTAACTCCTTCCTTGCCACCATACTTTTATGTCACGGTGCTTATGGCTTGTGATTTCTATTTAGTGAATTAATTCCTATGCATCTTAAAAAGTCCTACACTTTGAAATATTGCATTGATTTCAAATTTATGGAGCATTGCCAATAATATGATTCTTGTGCTCTTTTCACAGGTCTTCTTCAAACATGTTTCCCTGCTGTGGTCTAGTAATAGTTTGCTCAAAGAAGCCAGGTGAGAGTTTTGTCTCCATCCGTTTGTAAGATCTGCAGAGCAATGCTTAGAGTGGAAATACAGTTTTACTAAGGGAAATTCTGCACTAATGTTTTGCATGAATGTAGCAGTGGCTAAGCATAGCTTTAAAGTGACACTCCAAGCCCAAAACACCTTATGGTACTGACATAGTTACGGGTTAGGGTGAAATGTCCCATATTTCCTATCTACTTATAACTCCAGTGATTTGCTAACATAACTACATCCCATCACTCAGATTTGTCACAAGAAATAGTTATGGTTCACCCTGTCTGTATAAGTGCTTGTGGGGTACCTGCTTCCTTTGTGACCATATGGCTTGTATGTCCTTCCCTTATCAAGCTGAAGTGCTCTTTGGGTTCGGAAGGGGTTACTTTAACATAGCCTGCATGTGCTGGGGAATAACACTGCCCCACAATGATCTAAACACTCATTTGAGCAAGGTATAATCTCCACGTCAAGTGTCTGATATTTATAAATGCTATATGAATGTATTTGACAACAAGTAAAAGTTGCAAAACAAATTAGATATAGCGTAAAGAGTCACATTCACCAAGGAAAACCCTGTACAACGCCACCGCATTTTTTTCAATTTGTTTTTAAAAACTAGTTTTGCGGTGAAGAACTAAAGGCATTTTTGAAATGTTAAAGCTATTCAATAGTCTAAATTAGAAAGAAATACCAGTCAGGTTACTTTTGAAAAGAATGCGTGGAACAATGCAGGGTGGATCACCAAAGTTTCTTAAATAAACCTCTCTTGTAGACCAGGGTGTTAACTGAGAAATTGATTCTTGATTTTTTTTTTTCCCAATTGCTTACCAGCCAAAACTGAGGAAAATTGAACAATTTGTGTCTTAGTCACATTGTGCTGGGTTTGTGCTTTTGTTTTCCCCTCACATATCTAATAAATGTGCCCAATAAGTATCAGACCCCTGCTATACTCAGCACACACCTTATGCTCCCACGCCATGTGATTGCCAGACTGTGGAGCACCAACAAGTGTACAGAATGTTCTGCCGGTAGCCAGTGGCATAAGCGCGGCATCCATCAGAGTGCTGTAGCTTGCGATCTGGCCTGGTCAATGACCTGCACGAAGTGTTGCGGACTAGTCCTCGTGCCGCCGTGCTCCTTAGGTTAGGCTTGTCTTATAGTGGAAGTGGGTGTTACTGCCAGGGGTTGTGACAGGTATTGAAAGTGTGATGTGGGGCGGGGGATGCTCAGTAATACTGTTCTGCTTGTTCCATCATGTTGTACCCATGTTTTGCTTATAAACTTCAATATTGTCTACCTGGTATCTGACTTTTGGCCTGATCTCTGTTGATGAACTGCTGCTTGACCTGACTTTTTGCTGTCTTGACTATGTCTCTGCCTCATCCATATTGGTACTTCACCTTGATTTTTTTCCTCAGTCCAAGTGATCAAGCGCTCCTGCAGAGTGTATAGCTGTCTCACCCAAACACTAGCCAATACTTAATAAAGGGTGAATAAGAAGTGATTTTATTGAACACAACACAGGTGTATATAAAGGAGTAATCACAACGGGGGGGGGGTCATCAAACAAAACAATACAAGTCACTACTTGGAGTCTTGGTGTCTAGGACAGAATTAGGTCAAGAGTCCATAACTTAATTACCTGCCTGACTCAGTGGCGGATCCAGGGGGGGGCAACGGGGCAATTGCCCTCCCCGAGAAATCCGCCGGTCTCCCTCCTCTGCCAGCAGCACATGCAGATGCTAGCCCTGAAGTGTGCCTGTGGACCGGGGGGGAGATCAGAGATCTCCCTCCCCGGTCCGCAGGCACTGTGCTTACAGCCGGCAGGGGAGGGAAAGGGAGGAGAGAAAGGACCCGGGAGCTCAGGCTGCAGCTCCTCCGGGTCCTCCTCTCGCGAGATTTGAAGCGTTGCCACGGTTACCACGGCAACGCTCCAAATCTCGCAAGAGTGAACTCTAGCCCGGGAGCGCCGGCTAGAGTTCACTCTCACCACCTGACCACCAATGAATCGCCCGCCCACCGGACCACCAGGGAACGAAATATGTCCCCCCTCCTCCCCAGTAAAGGTAAGAAGGGAGGGGGGACATAGCATATTTATTTTAATTAAATTAAAAAAAATATATTATAAAAAAAAAAAAAGCCACACACACATTGCCCCCAATACTGCCACCCCCATTCACACAAACTGCCCCTATACACCTGCCCCATACACACATACTGCCCCCCCATACACATACTGCCCCCCATACACACATACTGCCCCCCCATACACACACTGCCCTCCATACACACACACCCCACATACACACATACTGCCCACATACACAAACTGCCCCTATACACACAAAATGCCCCTCATACACACACTGCCCACACACACACATACTGCCCCTCCCATACACACAAACTGCCCCAATACACACAAACTGCCCCCATTCACAAAACTGCCCCTATACACATGCCCCACACACATACTGCCCCTCCATACACACATACAGCCCCCATACACACACTGCCCCCCATACACACACTGCCCCCATACACACACACACACTGCCCCACCATACACACACACTACCCCCATACACACACTACCCCCCATACACACACACTACCCCCATACACACACATTGCCCCCCATACACACATACTGCCCCACATACACACATCCCCACATACACACACTGCCCGCCATACACACAAACTGCCCCCTATACACACAAAATGCCCCTCATACACACGCACTGCCCCCACATACACACGCTGCTCCCCATACACACATACTGCCCCCCATACACACAAACTGCCCCCCATGCACACACACTGCAACTATTACACACACACACTGCCCCCCCATACACACACACTGCCCCCATACACACACATACTGCCCCACATACACACATCCCACATACACACACTGTCCCCCCATACACACACACTGCCCGCCATACACACAAACTGCCCCCTATACACACAAAATGCCCCTCATACACACAAAATGCCCCCACATACACACACTGCCCCCCATACACACACACACTGCCCCTATACACACACACATACACACGCTGCTCCCCCATACACACATACTGCCCCCCATACACACACACTGCAACTGTTACACACACATACTGTCCCACACATACACTGCATCCCTGACATACACTGCCACCCTCACTCACACACTACAACCTTCACACACACACACACACTGCACCCCTTACACATTGCACCACTCACACACAGCACTGCTCCTATGCCCTACTACAGCCCCATTCCCAGCAGATCTCAGGTAAGTTGTCAAACTGTTCTTAAACGGTTTGACTACTTACTGTGGGAGGGGGTCCCGGCACTATTGACACCATAACCACTACACTGAGCTTTAGTGGTTATTGTGTCTGGATTATTTCTTTAACCCCTTAAGGACACATGACATGTGTGACATGTCATGATTCCCTTTTATTCCAGAAGTTTGGTCCTTAAGGGGTTAAATAATCTACAAGTGCCCCTCCCGAGATCAGGCTCTGGATCCGCCACTGGCCTGACTTCAAGATCCGTTGCACAATAGCTATTGTATAATAAATACAAATATAACCTTTTATACACACAGACACGCTAACACAATTATCTCCCATTGTAGAAGAAAACTCCTAAAACACATATAATAATATACAGCAGACAAAAAGGGGTCTCTGGAATAATGGGACAATACCCTTTGCCCTTCTTAGTCAACAACTGTCAGGATTAAAGTTGATCCAGCACTCAGAATTGTATCACACCTAAAGACTAAGGATAACGTCTAACCGGACGTTAGAATGGCCGGACTTAACTTACCCAAGAATAGTCAAAATACTTTCAAAGCCAGAAGTCATGGATACCAGGGACGTCAAAACAAAGCCAAAGTCAAATACCAGAAAAAACACGATCAGGAACACACCGTGACAACAACAAGGAATAGGGAGGGGAGGAGAATAACAAACAAATAAATAACACACCCTGTACCTATAATGGGCACAGGATGACTAAAACATAGGAGTAATCTTGGGTTCTACATAAAATGTCCATCTTTGGCTCGCAGTGATGGTGACTACAATCACATGTGCCCAGCTCCATGTATCATATCTCTATTTTTTTCTCAGCTCTATTTGTGGTATGCTCTGTATTGTACTCAGCTCTATGAATTTTATAGATCTCTTTTTGTTGTGCCCAGCTTGTTTAATTGTATGGACATATCTGTATCTCTGTACTGTGTGTAGGGGGTAGTAAAATTCGGTGGGAGGTGTCTGGTGCCCCACCATCTTAAAACTGCACCAGCTGCCTCTGGTTTTCATGATGTTTCCAGAACTCTTCAATGGCATTATTTTCCCAAACCATACAAGTCATGTGTTTATATGTATGTAACTATCTGTGTGTCTTGGGTACTAAATCATCTACTTTGTTTGTTTTCAATCTCCAGTCCCTCTCAAGGGGATCTCGGTTGATGTCCAAGTGAAAGGCTTTGTGGCCGATGTTTCTGCAACTCTGAAATATAAGAACGTGGAGGAGAATGCAGTGGAAGCTCTCTTTGTGTTCCCTATGGATGATGACTCCGCTGTGTACAGTTTTGAGGCGACGGTGGAAGGAAAGAAGATTATAGCAGATATTCAGGAGAGAGAGCAGGTAACGTTGACATCAGATAGAGAGATCATGAAGGGCTATACAATTTCTAATATTAACAAATAAAGCACAAATTGGGGATGTATTAGTTTTCTATATCTGTCTCCTAGGCTCGGAAAACCTACGATGAAGCTATTAGCAAGGGGCAACAGGGGTTCTTATTGGAGGAAGACAAGAGCTCTGGTGACATCTTCAGCTGCACTGTGGGGAACCTACTCCCTGGTCAGGAGGCTGAGGTGACACTATGCTTTGTTCGGGAGCTGCCAGTGGAGGCAGATGGAGCAGTGCGCTTTGTATTGCCAGCGGTACTCAACCCCCGATACACTCCAAAAGGTAGTAAATTGTTTCTTGTAGCCTGGAGGTTCAAGGTTTATATCCATTGGGGTTTTCTAAGTTTTAATTATTCAGGAGACTTTACAACTTGTGTTTCTCTTCCTCAATCATATGTAACTTTTTTATATTTCTGGAACAGTTCGGTTTGTTTGCTCCACAGTTATATCCATTGTTGATTTATATCAGGCAGCTTTGAACCCCTGGATATTTAAGTGAATACAGATCTCCTGAATTCTTGTAGAACAGTGCTGCTACTTACCCGAGGGCATACCTGTGGACACTGGGAACCGACTCATACTGGCCATTGGGAAATGCCCGGTGGGCTACTATGGCAATGGTTCGTGCCGACAGGGCAGATTAGAAGATCTCGTCTACCAGCCTATGCAGAGTCTGCACTATCCAAGTGCCAGTCCTGCTGCCTGCCATGACGGGCCAGTGGCAGATCTAAGATCTCCATCTCTCACCAGCCCACAGACTCTTGAATGCAGAGAGGAAAAAGAGCAGAGAGCTCTAGCCTCCAGGAGGATTTGCAGGCTAGCGTTCACTCACCACCAGACCACAAGGGTTTGCAGTGTCCGCCCTCCCTGAGAAGGTAAGAAGGAAGGGGGTTTGTACAGTTTATTTTATTAATTTTAAAATATAAATATATTTAATTTGCTCCCAAATACCCCCTTACACACACACAACACCTCCCAACACATTCACAAACTGCACCTCATACACACTGTACCCCTCACACATACACACTGCACCCATGAAACACATACACTGTACCCCTTCATGCACACACTGCACCCATCATGCACACATTGAACCCTTCACACGCACATTGCTCCTCTCAAACATATTGCACCCTCTCACGCACACACTGCACCCCTCTTACACACTGCCTGTAAACACTACATCCCTTATACACAGACTCTTCAACTTAAACGCACTACATTCCAGACACACACACACTACAACCCTTATACACACACTTCATCCCTTATACAAACTCTTGATCCCCTACACACACACTAGACCCTCTATATACATAAACAAAACAGCCCCTTTCTGGCCCTGCCCCCTTTTCACTGGGCTGCTGTGATTATAAAATGCCTGAGTCAGTTTGTTTCCCAGTCTGGCCCTGCTGGAAAATATAACCTACTAGGAACTGTATATGTATGGAGTAAGACCATTACATATGGCTGATAGACAGTACATTGAGTCATAATAAACATATTAATTTAGAATTGCTGTAATGCAAATCATAATTAAACATAAGTACTCAACAGGTTAACACACAGAAAAAACAGATCATAGTGTATAAAAATTTACAGAGAATAAAAAATAGGCGAGTACACTCACAAACGTAGAGCCAGCCGACTTAGCTCTCAGTGGTCATGCCTGCAGATGATTAAAGGCCAACCTACTGCCTACTCATACTCACAAAGGAAACATTTCCTCCAGATCAGTTTGATGGAACATTAAGGGAATAGTGCAGTATGTCTGTCTGTCTGTAGGTCAAATACGAGCTCAGCTTTACGTCACTTTGAGCTGGTAATTCCAAGGTACAACTTAAGAAAAGCCTCCAAAAATTTCCAAGAATGCAAAGCAGGTAAGTGTACTTGGTATAAAGATATTTGATAAAATACAAAGATAATAAAAACAGAAATAGCCAAAACGCATATCGCCTCGGTCTCTTGGCAATACACATCAAATGGTAGGAAAGTATAAATGGAGCAATCATGTACACCTTCTGATCGACCAAGCTAGTTTGGAAGGGATATGAGTCCCTGAAGCCGATCTGAAAATATACATAGATCTCTATAAAATATATGGTGTTGTCACAAAGGAAACCTATCCTCCAGATCAGTTTGATAGAACATGAAGGGAACAGTGCAGACTGTATAATATAGATGTATGTATGAAAAAAATTGTTCAATTTGCAGGAATCTGAGCCAAATAGAGACTCAGCCTTGGGTCACTTTGAGTTGGTAATTCCAAGGTACACCAGCAGGTAAGTGTACTTGGTATAAAGATATTTGAGATAATACAAAGATAATAAAACCAGAAATAGCGAAAATGCATTTCGCCTCTGTCTTTTGAGGCTTCCTCATTTGGCAATACACATCACATAGTAGGAAACACTTATGTACATACAACTATATAACAATAACTGTCACGGGTTGTAGTGTCCCTTGGTCGATGCTTCTCTCATCCTCTGCTGGTCCTGGATTCAGCTACAGCATTCAGTGATTCTAGCCTTCTGTAACCTTGTAAAATTCCCCAATATAGTGGACAAGATCAGTCGTATTGGGTAAAAGTAGCAATCTGAACTCTGCTTCTTATGCAGTGCCCATAGCATGGGGTTTCTATACAAAATCACAGGTATTTCCTTCCCACAAGCCATTGTGTTTGAGAGATAATTGAGCTCCAATTATCTCTCAAATAGGAAGACTTATATACAATTTTTCATATCACAAAAATACATGACAACAGCATCGGAACCCCACAAAAATTATATTCCTGAGTAGCCCCAATCTGAGCACACAACATATCCAAAAAGCGCTCATATCGGTTTGGTAAAACGAAAGTTATGTTCGTGCCTATATGAACTGGCTGCCTGGTAGACGTGGTATTGTCAATTTCAAAAGGGGTTAATTTGATTTGTTTGGGAGGTCAGAGCTTACAACCTAAATTCCTCTTTGAAGCTGGGACCCAAGCAGAGTCTGTAAGGTGTGAGAAGTCACACATAAGTGGCCTGGAAGTCTGGTTTCAGTATAAACTAACTCTCTCATTTGTCATATGGCTTGGTGTCTGTGACATAATTGGGTCAAGACATGATAACATAATTGTCTGCTGGACACCAAGACACATAGCACAATGGCTTTTACATAATACAATTAACACAATAGCTTTCATCCAGCTCAAAATTTTACATAATAACTCAATGTTAAGAACGCTGGTATGTCAGACACCCGTTCGCTTCCAGTTCCTCCCGAACTGCTAAAAGCTGAGTGATTATAGCTTGCAGTTCGGGTGTTGATTCAAACGTTCTCCAGAAGAAAATGCAGTGTCCAAGTAAATTCTCCCAGCAATCAGACGCATACCCAAACATCAGGCTTAACTAGATGAAGGGTATAAAAGGAATTAATTTATTCAGGCCAACTGGACGGTTTATATGCAAGTCCCCATGCAAGGGGTATGGGTTTACTGTGACATATTCCAGGGGCATTCCCCACTGGACCTGAGAGGGGACTATGACAAAATACATACTGTAACTACATTGGCTCTCAGGTCCAAAATATTCCCACACAAAACAAGATAATCCCTCCCCTGTGCCTGTGAGTCAGGAAGTGTACTAAACTCAATTATCTCCAGGCACTAAAAACATTTTAATAACACCCCAAAATACCCCCAAAACAACAACAGCCACATCCCCTGATAGTCCTGATCTGGGGGACCAACATATCCAGAAATCACCCAGGTTGGTTCAGAGGTTCGGGATTTCCATGGAAGTCATATTTTGACCGACCATACACAAAGTCTTATACCCAAAATAGTTCCACAGTTTCAGAGGTAGTGGTTGGTCTATTTCGGCGAGTTCTAAAACCGAAAAAATCCACTAACTGCTCCCCTGGCTCATGGGTAGCATTTGTTCCCCTTGTTCGTGGGAACAAACCTACCGAATAGCGCTCTCCTGGCTGGTCGGTGAAAAGAAACAGGCGTTCGCAAAGTTGACCGGCGTTCGGGAAGTCGAGTGTCCGATTTTAGTTCCAGACACTCAACGACCAAGTCCCGCTGTCTCTTTTTGTGCGACAAGATGGCCATATGAACAGCGTCCACATAGAGAGAGCACTTAATCTGCCATTACCTTTGTAGTTAATGAGCCGGGGGGGTGTTCGGTGTTCGGTAGTTTTATCTAGTGAACAAGAAAAATCCAAGTTAACGAACAAAACAGGGTGATTTCTTCACATTGATCCCTCTTGGTTCTATCGATCGGCATACCTGCCTAGACCCTGCCGAGTTCACTTGGGGATGTCTGGGTAAGTCAGTCAAGGTTCCCACTCTGTTTTCCGGGATAAACCATCTGCATTGCCGTCCTGTTTGCCTGGCCTGTACTGCATGGTGAAATTGTAGGGTTGCAGGGCCAGGCTCCAGCTTAACAAACGGGGATTGTCTCCAGCGACTCTGTTTAACCAGATGAGATGTTTATGATCTGTCATTAAAGTAAAGGGACGGCCGTAGAGGTAGGGTTATAATTTCTTTAATGCCCATACAAGAGCCAGGCATTCCTTTTCACGGTGGCATAGCTGACCTCTCTGGGTAATAGTTTCCAGCTGAGATATGCCACCGGGTGTTCCATCCCGTCATCCACCACTTGACTCAACACGGCTCCAAGTCCAAACATGGAGGCATCTGTGTGGACAAGAAACTTTTTAGTATGGTTTGGGGCAGCCAACACAGGTGCCTCGCTCAGCACCGCTTTGAGTTTCTGAAAAGCTGCCGCATACTCCGGGGACCATGCTACCTGTCTGGGAAGGGACTCTTAGTCAGGTCTGTGAGGGGTTTGGCCAAGGCGCTGTATCTGGGGACAAAATTGCGGTAATAACACGCAGTCCCTAGAAATGCTAATACTTGCGTTCTGGTCCGGGGCTGGGGCCAATTCGCAATCGCTTCCACTTCAACTGGTTTGGGCCGAACCCTACTTTATGGCCGAAGTACTGTACCTCGGCCATGCTTACAAGGTCAGGGTGAGCCGGTCATGTCCAGCTAAGGGTATATCATGGCTGAGCTTAAGTAGCTCTGCCCTATGTTTACAAGGTACTACTAATTGATTTTTAGGGATCTGCGCAGCCCCACTCCCAACTCCCCTGGTCACCCTGTATAGCAGACCCTTCTCCCACTTAAACCTCTCCTGGGAAATATCTCCATGGCGGGACGCTGCCTCCTTTCTGTACCCCTCTAGTGTGGGGTCTACCTTCTGCTCCTGCTCAAAACCCTGGGGAGTACCCCAGAATGGGGTAGAGGCGTCGGTTAAGGAAGGGATGGAGGGTCCTACCTGAGGTTCCTCGGAGTACGCTGGCTCCCCCTGGAGGGCTTGAGACCGAGTCGTCACGGGACACGTCTCCTCTGGTTCAGGCTGGGCAAGCTGGGAGGTCAGGCAACCGAGGCCATTCCCCCAAAGCACTTTGGCCGGTAATTCCTGCATGATGCCCACTTCCAAGTGTTTAGCTCCTGTACCCCAGTTAAGGTGTACCGGAGCAGTGGGTAATTTGTGAATGGCACCTCCAGCTACTCGGACTGCCACGGTCCTGTTGTTCCGGGCTTGGGCTTGAACTTTGTGGGGTTGTACCAGGGTGAGAGTGGTGCCGGTGTATCTTAAGGCTCAGGCCTCCTGCCCGTCCATGGTGCCCCTGATTGCCACCTGCTGCTTGGACTGGGTTGGCTTCGTGTAGTACCATCCATTGCTCTTCGCTGTGCCCTTGTGCCTCGAGTGCCTCTTGGTGCTAGCAGTGTGCCGCGGCCAGGGCTGCTTGGGGTGCTGGTCTGTCCCAGCTCCCTCAGTTCCGTTGAGGGCAGTGCATCTTATAGTTCCCTGGCTGTTGGCAGTGGTGACAGAGGGAAGGCGAGCGCCGAATGGGTGTTGGTGATGGTACGGGGGATTAGGAGATAGGTCTGGTGGCAGAGGTCCTAGTGCTGGGACAGGGGACTTAAAAGTGCTCGATTCTACCTTTTCCCATCGTGGTATTCATCCGCTTACCGAGTTGCCTCTTCCACCGTACCTGGTTTCCTATCCCTCACCCAGTCCCGGGTTTCCGTTGGCGTGTGTTTAAAGAATTGTTCCAATAATATCAATTGCACCGCATCCTCCAAAGTCTTTGCCTGACAGCCCTGCATCCAATTTCGAGCCGCCCGGTGCATCCGAAAGGCCCTTTCGGCATACAATTCTCGATTACCCTTTCTCAAACCGCAAAACTTTCTCCTTTAGGCTTCCGGGGTGACGGCAAACCGGGCAAGCAGGATGTAGCTTAACCGCTGATAATCGGGAATAGCATATTCGGGGACCGCCTGGTATTCCTCTTCCGCTCGGCCGGTGAGTTTGCTGCTAAATATCGCAGCCCAGTGTTCTTGATCTAGCCCCTCTAAAGCGCACTGTCTCTCAAAGTCCTGCAAATAAGTGTCGATCTCCATTTCCCCGTCAACAAAAGTTTTGAAAGCAGCATAATTAATTTTTCTCAGCTGCCCTCCATTTATAGATCCAGGTAATGATGCCGTTTCTGCCTGGCACAGGTTCGCCTGCTGGGCCCTTTGTTCTGCTCTTACCTGTGCCATGATACGCGCCACAATTTCCGGCAAAGGATTTGTCCCCAGCAGGCCAACTCTGCTTCCTCCTGGCTTACATTTGACGCACCCCTGGCTTGATTGCCCTCCATCAATTCGGCAATGAGGGTAGCTTTCTTTTTTAAAGAATTCTTTATTTTCAAGGTTTCACCTGTAAACATGGGGTACAGAATAAAGAAAAGGGGAGGGGGTACAAGTGCAATCCTTCTAATTAGGTGAGTTACAATTCGATTTTACAGGAATAGGGGTAGAGGGTGGGATACCGTTGTTGTTGGTGTGTTGGTTGACATTTGTGAACGTATCGTGCATTGGCGTCGAGGGGGTGGGTTGTGAGTCGGTGGCCTTGTGTATGGGTTGGTGCCTTGTACTTCTGGGGGGTTGCAGAGGTGGGTGAGTGGGAGAAGGAGAGGGGGTTGTGTTGCCGTTCGTGGCTCTCTGCGGTCTCAATGCAGCCTGTTCCTTGTGGCCCGGTGTGGGGTTGGTCGCAGTGGATGGGCTTTGAGCTGTCAGAGTCCATAGTCTGTGGTGGGCGCCCTAGGGTGGGAGCCTGCCCGGGGGGGTAGGAGTTCTGTGGTGGGAATTGGGGAGGAAGGGGCGTGAGGATGTTGGTCCTCCGTGGGTGTAAGGTAGTGAGGGGTTGGTGTGGTGAAGGGGCTGGAATGCCGTTGTTCCCAATTGAGTTTCCTGTTGTTTGAGGTGGGGATTGAGGTGTTGGGTCGGAGAGGGGATGATATCGATTGTGCAGTTGTCAGTAGTCTGGCGGGGGGTTTGGGGTGAGGTGGTGTCTGAGAGGGGACCTGGGGGAGGGGAGTGGGACGACTGTCTTCCGGATTTAGGGGGATTTAGGGGTGGGTCAATCTATATATGACCCAGGGGTCCCATATTTTGTTGTGGTGATGGGTCGTTTCGTGAAGTAGGGCCGAGAGATTGTCCATCTCCCTTGCTTCCTCTATTTTTTTGATGGTCGTGTCCAGGGTGGGGATGTGTTTGTTGCCCCATTGTTCTGCGATTGTGCGTCGCGTGGCCAAGGCGATTTTGGCTAGTAATTTATTTTGTGCCCTAAACAGGGGGGTATGGGGTTTGGATAATAGCCAGATCCATGGGTCTAGTGGGATCTTCGTGTGGAGGAGAGCTGATGTTAGGTCCGCTACCTTTGTCCATAGTTGTGTTATGTGTGGGCAGTGCCACCAGGCGTGAATGTAGGTGCCCTGGGACCCGCAGCCTTTCCAGCAGTCGTCTGTGGTCGAGCATTTCATTTGCTTCAACCGCAGGGGCGTCAGGTACCATCGTAGGAGCGTTTTATAGGCCTGTTCTCTGTGGTTAACGCATATGGTGAGGGAAGCAGTTGCCTCCCATATTGCCGGCCAATCTGACGGGTCTGTGGGGGGGCCGATATCTCTTTCCCACGTTTTGGTGTATGCGAGTGCTTCCATCGGGGAGGCGGAGTTCAGTTGGAGGTAAATGCAGGAGATTTGGCCTTTGCGTATCGGAGAGTGTATGCAGTGGTGTTCGAATTGGGTCATGGTGGTGATGGCTGTAGAGGAGTGGAGGGGGTGTTGGAGGAAGCTGCGGATCTGAAGGTAGCGGAAGTGGTCAAAGGTGGTCAGTGGTGTGTGCCCTGGTAGGTCTGAGAATTGGAGCAGGTGATTGGATTGGAAGAAGTGGTAGAAACGGAAGAGCTCATTGTCTTCGAAGTGCGCGAAGTCTCTGGGGTTCATCCCGGGGGGGAATTGTTTGTTCCGTAAGATTGGGGTTAGAGGTGAGGGGGAGTTAACTAGTTTGGTTTTCTGTATGGTCTTATCCCATATCTGAAAAGAGGTGTTAAGGGCTGGGGACGTTTGTGGAGTGGAGGGTCTGGATTGTTTGGGGACCCAGAGGAGTAGTGAGGGATGGTCCCTTCCCAGTAGGTCATGTTCGAGATCTACCCATATCTTTAATCCTGGGGGGGCATGTAGGTGTTGTATTTGTGTCAATTGGGCCGCCTGGAAATAGTGTAGAAAGTTGGGGAGCCCCAGACCCCCTGTTTTCGTGGTTTTGTACATTGTGGATCTCCGTATCCTGGGTTTTCTGTTAGCCCAAATGAAATTGTCAATTTTTGTTTGGAGTGCTTTGAAGTCCTTTCGGACAATGGGGATGGGTAGGGTCTGGAATAGGTACAGGAATCTTGGGAGTAAGTTCATTTTAATGGAGGCTATCCTCCCCATCCATGAGATGGGCATGGTTGTCCAGGTCTGGAGGTCTGTATAGGCCTGGCGAATAAGGGGGGGGTAGTTCAATTCGTACGTGGAGTCGGGGTTGGCCGGCAGAGATATGCCGAGATATGGGATGTCAGTGTCGTTGTACTTGAATGGGTGTGAGCGTCGTTAGTCGTTCAGGTCACGTTCCGGTATCCCAATTGGGAGTGATTCGGTTTTGTCTAAGTTTAATTTGTACCCTGAGACTGCCGCGTATTCGTCCAATAGAGCCAGTAGGGGGGGTATGGATTGGCGTGGGTTTGTAAGTGTGAGGAGAATATCATCGGCATAGGCCGAAATTTTGTATTCGTTTTGTCTCACGGTAATGCCGGTGATTAGTGGGGATTCGCGTATTTTTTGTAATAAGGGTTCAAGGGAGAGGGCGAAGAGGAGCGGGGATAGGGGGCAGCCCTGTCTGGTTCCGTTTTTAATCGTAATCGATGTTGGGATGGCGTTGGGCATAAGGAGGGTGGCCGTTGGGCTGTTATAGAGGGAAGTCAGGGCCTCTATCAGAGGGTCGGGGATGCCAAATTTTTTGAGGACGGCGAATAAGAAAGGCCATAGGAGGCGGTCAAATGCCTTCTCGGCGTCCATGGACAGGAGGAGGGTCGGGATCTTCCGGTGTGTTGCTACCCAAATGAGATCTAATGTGCGTCTGGTGTTATCGCTGGCCTGTCGGGAAGGGATAAATCCCACTTGGTCGGGGTGGATTAATTTGGGTAGGTGGTATTGGATGCGGTTCGCCAGGAGTTTTGTGAAGATTTTGATGTCTACATTGAGGAGGGAGATCGGCCTGTAGTGGCCTGGGTCTGTGAGTGTTTTGTTGGGTTTCGGGATTAAGCTGATGTTAGACCTCAGCATGTCAGCAGGTAGTGTCTCTCCCTCGAGTAATGAATTATAGAGCGTGGCGAGATGTGGGAGGAGGACCGCTGAGAATGTTTTGTAGTATTGGCCCGTAAAGCCATCCGGGCCCGGGCATTTATGGGGTTTGAGTGATTTGATTGTGGAGGCAATTTCTTCTGTTGTGACGGGTGAGGTGAGGCGTTGTTTGGTTTCTTCCGCTAGAGCAGGGAGGGGGATGTCTCGGAGGTAAGAGTCGATGGTTTGGGGGTCAATCGGATGGGATTGTTTATGTTTAGGATGTGTGCTATGGTCATAGAGTTCCGTGAAGTATGCGGCAAAGGTGGCGGCGATTCTGTCAGGGGTGATGTGCCTAGTGCCTCCAGGTGAATGGATTTCGTCGATACTTTTGGTTCGCGTTTTTTGGCGGAGTTTGCGGGCTAAAAGCGAGTCCGCTTTATTGGATTTATCGTAGAATAGTTGTTTAGTCCATAGGAGCGCCTTTTGGGAGTCTTTGGCCATGAAAGTTTTAATAGCCCGTTGGTGGGTTTGAATTTGCGCTAGCTTGTCTGGGGAGGGATCGATTTTGTGTTGGGCCGAGGCGATTCTTAGGGAGGTTATGTGGTGTTCTAATTCTTTGAGCTTCTGTTTTTTGAGTCTGGTGGCCTGTTCAATTAGTGTGCCTCTGACCACCGCCTTATGTGCTGCCCATAGTGAGCTGGATGAGGTGACCAAGGTCGAGTTTTCGGTAAAATAGTTTTCTATGGCTGTGCGTGTGTCCTTCGTAATGTCCGTTTTTTGAAGTAAAGTGGGGTTTAGTCTCCAGTTCCAGGATTTAATCGCTAGGGGGATGTCTAATTTTAGGGAGATTTCCGCGTGGTCGGACCATGCTATGGTCCCAATTGTCGTGTTTGTGGTCTGAGGTAGTAGGGAGGGGGAGAGTAGGAACATGTCAATTCTAGAGTATGAGGTGTGAGGGTGCGAATAGAAGGAGAAATCCAGAGTGTTGGGGTGTTGTAGTCTCCATATGTCGAGGAGGTTCGTGTGGAGTGCGAAGTTGGAGAGTAGCTTGTCTAATCTTGTGGGGTAGGGCGTTGGACCTCTCGCCTGGGATGTGGGGCGTTTCCGGTCTAGCTTTGGGTCCATAGTTGCATTAAAATCTCCCCCTACAACTAGGTGGTGGGAGCTGAACAGTTTTAGGTGTGCTGTGAGGGTCGTCCAGAAGGATGGGTCAGGGGTGTTCGGGGCGTAAACGGAGGTGATCGCGTATTTGTGGGTCCCGAGATGGCCCACTATCGTGAGATATCTGCCCTGGGGGTCTGGGATAGCGCGCGTAAAGTGAATCGGGCAGGATTTGTGGATCAGGATAGCCACTCCGTTGTGTTTGCCGCGGTAGGAATTGGCTAGGTGGCATGTGGTGTAGTGTTTGTTGCGTAAAGGGAAGGGTCTGGAGTCTACGTAATGTGTTTCTTGTAGGAGGATCAGGTCCGCCCGCGAGCGGGTCGCCCACCGCAAGAGTTGGTGTCTTTTAGCTGGGTTGTTGAGCCCCTTACAATTGAGCGACACGCACGAGAGCGACCTGGGCATCTCGGGTGTGGTGGGTGGGGAGGGAGATGGATAGCTGCTCGGGGGGGTTATGGGGTAAGGGGTGGGGGGGGGGTTGGTGTCTCGGGCGGGTGTGTGCGGGGGTTGGGGGTCGGGTTTGTAGGGTCCCTGGTCTTATGGGTTCCCTGCCAGGTAGTGTCGTTCGTGGGGGGTGTTGGTGTAGCCTGAGCGGTGGGGGTCGTGTGTACGTTGCGCCCTGTCACGGGCGTTCGTGTGGGTCTGGGGGGGAAGAGAGGAAGGTTTTCACGTTCCTTTCCTCCTCTCCCCAGCAGCACGGAGTTGTGTAGTTCACTCACGGTTGAGGATTTCCGTGGACAGTGGTCCTGGGTGAGGCCGTGAATGGTCATGTTGTGGAGTCACAGGTGAGGAACGGAGGTTAGTAGGCGTCCGGGGTGGCTGTCTTGGAGTATGGTCGGTGGTTCGTGAGAAGTGACATTGAGGTGGGGGTCAGTCCCGTATCCAATGCAATGTCTTCAACGTCCGGGGATAGAGTACCACTCCGGATAGGAGCTAACATGGAAAAAAAAATAAAAAAACAAAACAACATACCAAGGTATGATTGAACAACAATGAACAACATTGAACAGAAAGGAAAGTTAGGATGCAGTTACCCGCAGTTGTGTAAAGAGGTATTGTTTAGGTTTGGGGGCATTGAGGGTAGGGGTGGGGGAATGCTGTGTTGGAGGGGCCAAGTATTGGGGTGCCCAGTCTCCTCTAGTGGTTTCTGTCCGTGGGATAAGGGGCGTCTGGGCTGTGCAGGAGTATTGTGGGAGCGGGCCCATTCCTTGGCTGAGTATAACTCGGTAGTATTGGGGTCAGGGCTATGTATCCCTGGTGGAACAGGGGGACTAAGATTATGTCCTTGTTATTTGGCCCGGTGTGAGTCGGGGTGGGAGCCTTTTAAGGTGAGGGCGTCTTCCGGTCGGAGCTGTGAGTTCTAATGGTCCCCATAGCCGGGATAGAGGTGTGCCCGGGGGCGTAGTGATCGTCACTCCCTACCCTTTGCCCTCTATTAGAGTTGCCCCTTTTATATTGTGTTTTTTTTTAGTTTTTTTTTTCATTCATTCATTAAGGGGGGGTGATAGTACAGAGTTATAATGCCTGTGGGGGGGGTAGGGCCCTGCTGTGGAGCTTAAGTGTGTGACACCGGGCCGGCTATATCCTACCATGGGTGTGTAGCGGTGTTCCCTCCGTAGATAGGTTTGCGGGCATGTGGGGGTATGTCCTAGGTGACCCGGTAAGGTTAAAGGCGTGCGTGCGTGCGGGCGGGGGGGGGGAGGGGGCACGTACAGCACAGGGGGTGCTCCTTGGGGGGCGTAAGAAGATTTGCCCAATAGCTGGGGGGTTCCGCTAGGGTGCCCGGGGCAAAGCCAGTCCGACCAGATCTCCCCGCCCCCCCCCCCGATCCCACCCCAAGTCCCCTTGGCATACTTGCTGTTCTATGTTAAAGTCCGGGGGGAGAGTTCTCTGTCCCAGGCTAGGTAGGGGAGTCGTCTGTGCCTAGCCCGGTGCCATTGCCCCGTCCGCGGAGGAGTGCTGGAGGATGCGGTTTCCGGCGGGGTCTGCTCTTGATGATCGGGGCAAATCCTTCTGCCGGAGTAGTGCTCGGTGTGAGTAGGAGGTCCAGGCTTCTTCCTTCGGAGGAGTTGGCTATGATGCAGTGGTGTATCTGGTAAGTTCATGGTGTTTCTGGGGAGTGGTGTTTTGGTGCGGGTGGTGCTGGGGTCGGGGGAGTGGTACGGTTACCAGTCCTGCGATGCTTGGCCGGTCTCCGGATCCTGCTGTTGTTGCCTTTTCTTTTTGGGTGGACGAGGTGAGCGGGGTCCAGTATCCGGGCGGGTGTCTGTTTCTCGGCGGGGGACGGGGGGGTGTTGTAACAATTGGACCCCCAGCGATTCCGCGAAGGGTCCCATCTCCGTCGGGTGAAGGAGTATGTGTGCTTGTTCGTCTTTCCTGACGATCAGTTTAAAGGGGTGGCCCCATACGTATTTCAGTCCCTGTTGTTGGAGGGCCAAGGTGAGGGGTTTGAGGTCCCTTCGCTTCTTCAGCGTTAGTGGGGAGAGGTCCTGGAAGAAGGTAAGACTGATGCCTTTGAATTTGGGCTGTTTGTATCTGGCTGCTTGGGTCAGTTTTTCCTTTGCCGAGAAGTGGTGGAGGCGGGTGATGATGTCCCTCGGAGTGGCTTGGTTAAGATTGGGCGGTTTCAAGGCCCGATGTACCCTGTCAATTTCCAAGTCATTTGGGGTAAGGTCAGGGGCCATCTCTTGGAAAATAGCCTTGAGCGTGGGAAGTAGCTGTTCTTGGGTGACCGCCTCAGGTAGGCCGCGGATTCGGATATTGTTTCTCCGCGACCTATTATTCAGGTCTTCCATGCCGTCCTCCAGGGCTGCGATTTTGCCGTGGAAATAGGCGATGTCTTGCGCATGTTCCTGCGTGGATGATTCCAGTTTAGAGATGCGGTTCTCTGTCTGTCCCGTCCTGGAGGCGAGGGTGGCCATTTCGGTTTTGAGGCCCTCGAGCTGTTTGGTGATTTCCGCGGCCACGTGGGTTTTAATGTCGGCCGTTGCCTCACGAAGCATGCCGCGTAGTACCCCGATCGTAAGTGGGGCTGTAGGGTCCGGTAGGGGGATGGTATCCTCTGGCCCCGAGTCTTCTTCTTCTGTTAGTTGGGAGTCTGTAGTCCTCTGCGAGGCGGTTGGTGTGCGGAAGAGTGTTGCAACCGATGGAGTTTGCTCCTTTTTCTTTTTCCCGCCGCCCATTGTTTCGGAGGTCGGGTAGGGTAAGTGGTATCGTTCAATGTTGGTTTGGGATGGTTGTGACTACGGGGGATTGCGATGTCAGTAGATTCACATGCCGTGGGGAGAGAGAGCTCAGGAATCAAGCGTCCATCTTCCTTCGAGGTCAGGCTCCGCCCCCGGGTAGCTTTCTTTTTGTTGCTCGCCGACTGACTCCGAGCTTACAGCAAATCTTTCAGTGTAGTTCTCCTTAACTTCTCGTACTGCTGGGCCATTCACCAGTTCTCCTTGATTGGGAATTCCATTCGATCCCGTCGCTTCCCACCAGTTGTTAAGAACACTGGTATGTCAGATATCCGTTCGCTACCGGTTCCTCCCAAACTGCTAAAAGCTGAGTGATTATAGCTCGCAGTTCGGGTGTTGATTCAAACGTTCTTCAGAAGACAATGCAGTATCCAAGTAAGTTCTCCCAGCAATCAAACACATACCCAAACATCAGCCTAAACTAGTTTACAACAGGAAGTGTACAACAGGAATGAATTTATTCAGGCCAACTGGCAGGTTTACATGCAAGTCCCCATTCAAGGGGTTTATACCGGTGGTTGTGGTGTGCCAAAACCGACGTTCAGGTAGGCCTGTAAAAAGATGGCCCACCAAGTAAATGTTTTGATATTATTATTAAATACGGACAAAGGGACTAGGAAATCAAATATAAAATGTAAGTTCAGGCGATAGAGATGTAAGGGGAAGTAAGTGTAATCTAATTAGAACCCATTCTTAGAGAAACAATATATTGAGCTAGCTCTCTAAACCCAAGGGGAAATAAAATCTGATAATTAAGTTAAAAATATGAAAAATTATAAACATTGACATTATTCAAAATCCTGACTGAGACGTTTTGGAATCAAACTATCGATCTCATATATCCATCTCGTTTCTTCCTTATTCATTGTGTTAGTAAAGTCTTCACCTCTCCAGTTTTTATGAAGTTGTTTAATTGCTGTGAATGAACTTCCTACACTGGAACAATTAAGTATTTGTTTATAATGTGTGGAGACAGAATGGTTCTCAATATCTTTTTTGATATTGTGCAAGTGTTCTTGAATCGTTACATTGACCTTCCTAATTGTACATCCCATATCATTTTGTAATTATGTAGTCATACCCTTCATACCATCAGTTGGAGCTCTGATAGGCTAAAGGCAGTCAGCTGACAATCGCAGCCAATTACAGCTGCCCATTTCTGCTCAGTCAAATACTTCCTAGCCAAAGCAGCACAGAGGTGATGGTGATCCTGAGATTCTCGTTCAGCATAAAAACATTAAAAACGGTTTAATGCTGAATGAAATTATGGCACCAGGGGACACCTGACACTATAACCAGTTTAATGAGATGAAGGACATACAGCACCCATTAAAATCGATTAAGTGAATAAGTTATGGCAAATAAATAATGGTTAATGCTTCTCATGTGAGGGACAAAACTGCTTACAGAGAGAAGTCCTATAATTTTATTATACAATCACAAAAACTAGAACAGCCATATGTCCATTACCTTGACTGCAATATCACCCTTGTCGCCAGTCCTGAATATTACATTTGAATACAGTAATCACTACAAGTTTTCTGCCAAGATCTGATATAATTTCTAATCAGTTTTTTATTTTATTTTTTTATGTAGATGAAGAGCTGAGTATTACCACCACACACCCCCAGGTTCCTATTGGTCAGATTCCATACACTCTGTCATTGAATGCTCACTTCCAATCTGCGTACGGCATCTCCAAAATCGAGTCTAACTGCAACATCACCCCTTTGGAGTACACAGATACTGACAAGACAGCAGCCAAAGTGAGCGAACCATACAATAACACTGACGTGTAAACCTTAGGCTTATTAACCAATTTTAAGATGTACAAAGAGAGTTAATTTCCTTTTCTGTTTCTTTCTCTGAAATGTCTCACCTTGCAACTGGTCATATAAATAGCTTGCTTTGCCATTGTTCTGAGGTTAAATACTTCAGATACAGTCATTCATTGGCTCAGGCTGGCATGGATCTTGATAGAGTGCTTTCATGTTTTTTTTTTAAGTACATGCTGTGTTTTTAAGGGTTTAACATGTTGGGCTGTGACAATAAACTCACAGTTAAAGCATTTTGACCAAAACGCCGGTCCTTCTTTTCACCTCCTCATGATCCCCTTTGTCACGTTGCTTTCTTCCCCATTTCTCCAGGTGTCTCTGGCTCAGGGGCATAAGTTTGAACGAGATGTTGAGCTTCTTGTTTATTATAATGAGGTGAACAAGCCTAGTGCTACTGTGGAATCAGCGCTTCCAGATGCCAAAGCAGGTAAGCCAATCAGAAGCCAATCTATTCAGCATTCTATTTCTTATGTAACATGGTTTCGGTCGGTCCTCTCCTTACCCAGTGTTAGAGTGCCTTCTCATGCATAATGACTTGAGGATGTTGGGATCTGTGCCAATATAGCCAATAGCCAATATGTAGCCAATATGTAACTTGCAGATTAGGGGTTTGTCAATAAGCTTAGCTGATAAATGAGGAGTGGATAACCAAAGGAGGTCATTATAATGCAGGTTTTATTCTACAAACATTTATATTTTACGTTACCTTTTTGGAATTACCGGTGAGCTGCATTTAACAGATTTGCCAGTTTAACAACACTTGCCAGTCACAAAATCCCAAGCGCCGTACAGCACAACCTATTGCTCCTTGGCTACAGAGAACAGGAATGGGTCCTCTCCCAACATCTTCATTATTGTCACAGAGTGATTAGGGATGAAAAACAAAATCCCTTAAACTTAACAGTTTATCTAAGCTTCTCCTGCATGGATATCTTTACTACAACAGCATCCGCTAGAGCAGGGATAGGCAACCTTCAGCACACCAGATGTTGTGGACTACATCCCCCATAATGCTCTTACACCCATAATACTGGCAAAGCATCATGGGAGGTGTAGTCCAAAACATCTGGAGTGCCGAAGGTTGCCTATGCCTGCGCTAGAGTCTGGTACAAAACAGCTCAGTTCAAACAAGCTCCAGCTTTATCATATACATTTCCTTTATACATTACATTTTGTAGATAGCTTGCATGAATATATAATGCATATATTTGTAACCTGCAAACTATGTTTCTTAAAGCAGAACTGTCGTCGTCCCCCTTCTTCTGAAAAATGAGTATTTGTTTTAGATTGAAACTTTATGAAATAGCCATTCAATGTAAACATTACTGTTCCTACTAATTGGCAATGCTTTAGAACTAAAGGACCACGGCACCTAGACCACTTCATTGATATGAAGGGGTCTGAGTGCCTGTAGTGGGGCTTTATGAGATTACATTTTAGTTTATAGTTTTCACTTACTCTTTACCGTATTTATTTTTCTCTTTTTACATAGGGTCTGTGATGGCAGAGCAAGTGGTGATGTTGAATTTCTACCCTAGCTTCCCAGCAATGCAAGAGCAGTCTAATTGTGGGGAGTTCATCTTTCTCATGGATCGCTCTGGAAGCATGGAATGTGCAATGAATTCAAAACCAAATTCGCCTCAACGCATTCAGAGCGCAAAGGTTTGCAAATGGCATAGCGCACTATGTGAACTTTATTTCATACATGCATATTAAATGAACACTCCAAACGCCATAACCACTTAAGTTTGTTGTAGTGGTTATGGTGCTAGGAGTGCCCTGGCACCATCTAATGATAAGTCATCAAACCGTTTCAGTATGATAACACAACTTGCAAAGTGTCCACAGCCACAGCCCCTCCTTCTAGTCCTCTTCACCAGGAGAATCAAGTAAGTTCTCTAAGTGAATATGCCGCTCACGTTGGGCACCTGTTTTAAATTAGGATATTGCAGAACTAAAAATATGCAGAGGCAAGCTATAAAATTAATAAGGGGAATGGTAGACAGTTATGTAGAAAGGCTAGAAAAAAACTTTATTTGCTTCCTTAGAAAAAAACCTTGGGTGTTCAAGGATATAATTAATATGCAAGAGATCAGGTTGTTGGTCCAATGAAAAATCTGGTTGCCATTACATAGTCAAGATCAATGTTTTTTTTCCCATTTTTGTTGCACAATTGCCCATTGCTTCAAAAATGTTTTCCCTTTTTTTTGATAAAACGTTGTTTAAACGTTGAACTTGATGGGCTTTCTTTTTTTTGACCTTATTACTATGAAAATATGTAAAAAGCTTCGACCTCGCGTGCATAAGATTTTTCCTTGAATTAAGAAGTTGTCAATACAACATTCATCACTATAGATTCTGCTTTTCTAAATAAAATTAACAACTTATTTGTAAAGCTTTTTATTCCTATTTCCTATTTATATTTTTCTAATTGTAACTAATATTTTCCTGATATTAAATCTCATTGAAGTCTCAATTACTGGTCTCTTGAGATTTGTACAGTCCTATTTATGACCTGGTCATCCGTATGCTGTGTGTACTTTCCCTGATATGTTTTAACTAACTGGAATTTCCTATTGAAGGAGGGATTATAGCTGTGGACACTTTGCAAGTTGTGTTATGATACTGAAACTGTTTGACTACTTATCATGAGATGGTGCCAGGGCATAAAATATTTATAATATACATGTTTTATACAGAAACTTTTGTTCATGAGGACACATGATACATACATTTAAAATGTTAAAGTTAAAAGTTTCTAACTCCTCATAAATATTCAACAAGATTTTGTCAGTTTATTTCTGACCTTCTAAGTAATGATTTTTACAAAATAGACGTCATCACACCCATCACCCTTAAACATTCGTCAGTTATTGCAGCTCTTCCAAGCTGACTAACTCTGTTCATTGTCATGTAAAAATTTGCTCTCTCTGATTTCTATGAAAGTATTACACTCATGATGCCCTGGTAAATTTGAGCATAGTGTTTGAGTGCACATTCATTCTCTGTATTTCAAGATTTAAGTTCATGCACTCATCATTTCCCGACTTGACTATTGCAACTCATTACCCATCGGCCATCAGAATATCCACATTGACGTACTGTAGTCTGTAATGAATGCTGCCGCCAGGCTCAATTTCCTGATAGACTACTACTCCCACACATCACCCTTTTGCCTATCTATACGTTGACATCCTGTACCCTTCAGGATCCAATTCGATCTGCTAGCACTAACCTACAAATCCCTCCATAACGCCACTCCTAATACATTTCCTTCTCGTTCCCTTTACTCTGCACCACATTCTCCTGACATCTGTCTGTTCCCGCACTCCTATCTCTTACCTGCAAGATTTTTCAAGGGTTGCTCTGTTGCTTTAACATTTCCTACCCTCTGCCATCAGACTGTCCCCTAACCTCCGGTCCTTTATGAAGTCACTGAAAACACACCTCTTTAGGAAATCCTACCATATTCCTGGATGACACTTCTCTCATTACAGTTGCCTTAATCCGTTTCCAGTTTCCTTGCCTCCATATCCCAGCTCCTTCTGTTCGCTTGTTCCATAAACAACTTTTTGAAATTAATATTTTTTTGTTTTTTTAATCAAGGGTGAGGGATACAGAAAGAAGAGAGGGGGTAGGGAGTAGGAGGGGGAATTCATAGCATATTTTATACATCATACAATGCAGGTTAACCTTGTTTATTGTACAGCAAGTCTTAATTTTTGGCATCAGTTGAGTGATACAGTATAACTACATAACATTTGTAACGCTGGTTCTGTCCACTTGAAACCTTTGCGGGCACAGAACCGAGTGATTTGACTAACCGCATAGTATTATTATCGTTGGTTTTGCATGTCATATAGAAGAACACCTACTACTGACTCAGTACAAGAACCAGGTATAGTACTGGTGCTGTTGGTAGCAGATAGCATTGTCTTAATAAGCACCTCAGGTTTGTTATTTCTAGGTTGGTTCGTAGATTTACAGTCACACTCATTGCATCCTGAGTTGTGTCCATGCCCTATTGCGTGTTAAACCTGTGGATGCAGGTCTAGAAAGGAAGAAGGGGGGAGGGGGGGTGACATCCTAAATGTGTATAGTAGTTTTGGCAGTAGTTCCATTTTGGTCGTGTTGACCCTACCGACCCAGGAGAGCTTAACCATTTCCATTTTGAGATTATGGTAGAGCACATGTGTGGTAATGTTTTGTAATTCAAGTTAAAGATTCCTCTTAGTGAGGGAGCTAATTTGACCCCTGGTAAGTGATGCTGGATTTCCTCCAATCAAATGTGTATAATTGCACAAGTTGCTGCACCACTTGTGTCAGTAGGCCAATTGGTAGGTCTTGTGTTTTTGACTGGTTAAGTTTGTAGTAGGAAACTATTCCATATTCTTTCAGCAGCTAAAGAAGTGGCCGGTATGGAGGCGACTGGATTACTTATAGTCAGCAGTATGTCATCTGCGAACATTGACAGATTGAAGACTTCCTTTCCCAATTGTACCCCTTGTATGTCGGGATGGAGTCTAATTTTGTGTGCAAGTAGTTCTAAGCATATGATAGGGGCGAGAGAGGGCATCCCTGCCATGAGCCATTGGTAATATGGAAATGGTTAGATGCATGTGGGAGATAATATTCATCACTTTACGTATGTTCCCCGGACGAAGCCGGATTGATCAGCATGGATTATGCGCACCAACCTGTTTGCTAGAATCTTGGCATAGAGTTTTACATCAGTATTCAAAATGGAGATGGGGCGTAAATTGGGGCATGTAGTGGATGGCTTCCTCGGTTTGGGTAGGATGAAGATCCTGTGCAACTAACCTGTCACTCGGGAGGGTCCCTTTGTTGTAACAGTTGTTGAAAAGTATAGTCAAGTGTGGGGTCAGGATGTCTGCAAACGTTTGATAGTGAATGTTAGACTATCTGTCCGGGACAGGAGCTTTATGAGCTGGAAAGGTTTGTTATAGCCTCATGTATTCTGTGGGGGTGAAGGGTGCGGAAATGCAGCACATTTCTTCTAGCTGCAATTGTGGGAAGTCTACAGAGTTCAAAAATTCCTGTATGGACTCTGTGCTCGGGTGCGGAGCGAGTGGGCCGTCTTTTAAATTGTATAGGTTGCTGTAGTATGTGGCAAATTAATTGACAATATCCTGTGGGTTGAGGAGTTTGCCCTTAGTGGGGGAGTCGATATGTGCTATTTTGGACTGGGTCATGTGTGCTTGTAGTTGAGAAGCTAAATGTTAGACATGTGCATTTGTTTTCGTACGAATACGATTTTGTCCGAAAATTCTGTTTTTTTTCGTGTTTGTTTACTAGAACATAAACAAAAGCCCTACATACGAAATATAAACAAAACGAAAGGGCAAATGCTGAATGCATTACCTTTTCGTTTCGTTCGTTTAATAGACTCCGTGCTGCAGGGGAATTAACCCCCACAGCACGGAGAAATAACAGTGCGCATGCGCAACCCCCCCCCCCCCCAAAAAAAAACAAGGAGGGAGCCGTTAGCGCTACCAGCTCCCTCCATGTAATATTAATTCATACCCCCACCTTAAAACCTATGGAGGGCACTATGACACCCATATTAATAAATGGGTGGTTAAATCCTCCCGCATGCCCCTACTCGCAGCATGCCTCCGAAACAGCGCTGCTCGATTTCGTTTCAAACTAGATATAAATCAGTATGAGGGTCACTATGACCACCATTTTGCAAAAACGGAGGTTAGGTTCTTCCCGCGAGAAGGGGCATGTCACCTAAACAAATTTAAAACTACTCGTGAGCTGCCCAGTCACTAGTGCAATAAGGAGGGACCTGGCACAGGTTCACCCTGTTCCCCCATGGTGGGGAACACAAATAATTAAAATGGAGGGGGACATAGTGCCTATGCAATTGATATAAACGGAGGGGATCTAATGTCCCCCATGGTCTCCACCTATAAGCGGCAGGTGGAGACCCTAAATAAATAAAAGGGGGTACCTAATGCCCCCCTGGTCCCCACCCATGAGCGGCGGGTGGGTGTCCTAAATAAATAAAAAATGGGGGGGACCTAATGTCCCCCCCCAGGTCCCCACCCATGAGCGACGGGTGAGGACCACAAATAATAAAGGACCAAGCCCTAGTCACTCCCCCCTCCCCCCACACAATAAAAATAATAGTGAGGGGGAGGGGCAATAAACTAAACCTGTAAAATAAAATTACATACTTAACATTAGATTTCAAAAAAGAAACCAACCAATCACAGTGTTATGAGTCAAATTACACAGCATGAGAAAATTCCAAAGAACTTTCCCACGCTGTGCAAAATAACACAGAGTACTCTGATTGGTTGGATTTCAAGCCAACCAACCAGAGTGCTGTGACTGGTAAATGTAGAGACTTACCGGTCAGTCTCTTCATTTACCTGTCAGAGCACTCTGATTGATTGGTTGGCTTAACCAATTAGGTCCCCCCCATTATTTATTTAGGGTCCCCACCCGCCGCTCATGGGTGGGGATCTGGGGGGGGACATTAGGGTCCCCCCCAATTATTTATTTATTTAGGGTCCCCACCCGCCGCTTATGGGTGGGGACCAAGGAGGACATTAGGTCCCACGGTTTATATTAATAGCCCCCACTCACGGTTCACTGTGTCCCCCCATTTTAGTTATTTGTGTACCCTACCATGGGGGAATGGGGGGACCTGTGCCAGGTTTCCCCTCTTTGCACTAGCGACTGGGCAGCAATAGCTGCCCAGTCACCAGTAGTTTTAAATGACAGCGAGCAGCCACTGGGGGTCATGTGGGAGGATTTTACCTCCATTTTATCAATATGGGGGTCATAGTAGCTGCTAGCTGTCATTTAAAACTGGATATAAATGTATTCTATATAGAAGTCTTAGAGCTACGGTCAGAGTATGTCTGAAAAGTAGATATTTAGATCTAAATAGCTACTTTTTAATATTGCAGCATTGTTATAGTTTTTTGCTATAACTTTTGGTTACAGGTACTCTTACCTAGCCCTCTATCACTTCTATGTTAGATACTGATTTTCATATCCAGTTTTAAATGACAGCGAGGAGCCACTAGCTGCTCGCTATTTAGGCGACATGCCCCTACTACACAGGGGACCTGGCACAGGTAGGGGCATGCGGCAGGATTTAACCTGTGCCAGGTCCCCCCTTATTGCACTAGTGACTGGGCAGCAATAGCTCTCTCGATTATAAGCTCTCTTGAGCACCTTTTTCAACTCTTGTCAAATATTCCCATTCTATTATAGTAAAGTGCTGCAGACTATGTTGGCGCTATATAAATTAGTAATATTTTTCCTGAGATAAATGTACATTGAATGAAGTATCCGATTCTCTCTTTTCTTTCAGGAGACACTGGTCCTTCTATTAAAGAGTTTACCACTTGGTTGTTACTTCAATATATATGGTTTTGGGTCCCATTTCGAGTCCTTTTTTCCGTGAGTATGTATATATTGTGAATGCAATTCGGTTAAGTTATGAAAGTTGTCTGTGGTTTAAAGATTTAGTAATTGGCTCAGCTGAGTGAAAACCAACTGCAGAAATACCTATGTAGGTTTACCTGCAGGTTGAATCATAGCTGCTTCCTTCCCTTTTACAGCATGAGCAAATAAATCATTTTATTAATGGAGTCAATATTTAATATTTCATATATGGACTGCTACAAAGAATTTGTGATCATTCTTTAGCTTGTGGTTGTCGTGATTACGCAAAGTAAAACTTGGTCAGTTTTCGTCTTTTGAGGAAAGCCATGTAAGATTCCTGGCAATGTATTGATAATGGACCTATTGGAAATGTACTCACTGAAACAATATGCCAAAAATATATAAACTGAGATACAAGTTCATTGCTTTGAATGCACGTATAGCCTGTCTGCAAGGAGTCTCTGATTATCACCTAACCCCTCAGGGAAACCATGGAGTACACACAGAAGTCAATGGAGGAGGCGGTGAAGAAAGTTACAGAGATGGAAGCAGACTTTGGAGGAACAGAAATCTTGCAACCCTTAAAAAAAATCTATAAAACTGGTGTCAGGTCAGAACACCCACGACAGGTAAGAGACTCACAAGACAGAAAGTAATGGGCCATGTAATGCAGATTTATTGTTATAGCTCTGTTTATAAATGATTGTGAGCTCTCCTTTTTATACCATGGAGTGAATAAGAAAGGCACATGGTAACCTCCTCTCTCTCTCACATGATTATTATTATTTTATTATTTATATAGTGCCATCAGATTCCGTAGCGCTGTACAATGGTACAATGATGTATGCATGCTCCATGCTTAATTGCTGTTTTTTTTTTTCTCCTCAGCTCTTTGTTTTCACAGATGGAGAAGTTGGGAATACCAAGCAAGTGATAGCAGAAGTTCAAAAGAACTCCCAACATCACCGGTGATTATTACATTTATTCTCATTAGGGAGGACATATTTAATCTATTTCTACATGAGCAACTACAGCGTACGACATTAATGCAATTTTTATTGCGTTTCCAGATGGGTTGTACCTTTGTTGTTACAAGTGTATAGAAATCAAAATAAAAGGAGGAGATCACTGTAGGTTAATGTAGCGCTGGAATGAAGAGTATGCAAACATTCCTAATGCAATGGATCAGTCATTAGATCACATAAACTATTTTACAGAGTGAATTGAGAAATCATTTTAAATGGAATAGCCCATGGACTTTCTAAATGCATTTTCTCTCCTTCATACGCTCACAATCCTGTAGAGAATCATTAACAAATGGTGCTGACTAAGATGGACCAGAGAGAGAGATCCCATTATTCTATTGAATAATGCATGCCATGGGTCTTATCAGATAGTGGTAGAAGTATCTGTGAGAAGTTAATGCCTGTGCTTGTGCGCAGATGTTAGCTACAAGGCTACAACCTACGTTTTTAAGGTTTCATGACTTCTTTATCGAGGTTGTGGTTATATTCTTCCTATAGGATCTAGATGTAGCTAAATTTCAAGCTGAAGCCTAGTAGTTCTTATGTCGTTTGCTGTAGAGTTTGACTTCCTAGCCATAATGTAGCTCTCATTAATTCTCCATGCAGGTGTTTTACTTTTGGAATTGGTGAAGGAGCCTCCACGGCTTTGATCAAAGGCATGGCAAAGGCTGCAAATGGCACCTATGAGTTTGTCACTGGTGAAGACCGAATGCAGAGCAAGGTAATCCTCAAAATAGGTCGGATAACATCTCTGCTAATATGGTAATAAATATCCAGCTGCCGCTAGTTTGCAAATATACTTTGGGATTCTATATGTTGTAAATGACCAACTTTTAATTGATTTCTGAAGAATAGTAGCTCCAGCTCTAACTAACTTTCTCAATCAATGCTCAATCTAACATGGCTGCTGTGGTGATTGTTCTGTGTGATCCTGCAGCAGCAGCCAGGTTAGGTTGAGTAGCAGTTGGTCAGATAACAGTAGAATGTGACCCAACCTGGCTGCTCAGCCAGATAACAAAAGTTAACTTTTCTCTTAAAAATCAATATACACTATTAAAAAATAATCATTATGTTTCATTAAATTGAATACATTTAAAAAAGGAAAAAGTGAACATTTGGTAACATTAGAGCGAGTATCATTAATGCAGTATAAAGACTAACCAAGAAGCAACATCCAAACTGCATTGTAACCCCTGGGTTCCATCTGGGTCTATCCATGTTATCCCCTAGTTATTCACTAAACACAGAATATTTTTCTAGATCGAATAAAATCTGCACAAATTAGCAAATCCCAACTGGATTGGAACAATCAATAATTTCAACAATTTGATAAGCATAGTATAAATCAAATAACACCTTCATGCAACCCCCACAAATGTGCACTGTAGAATATTGCATATTCTATGTTTCTATTGATTATATATATGGATGTGTGGATTGACATAAGTAACAGATGGTATCAATAAGTCACAAGGCTTTCTTTGTCCGAGAGTTCTGGAATGTGGATGTGGGGGTTTTGTCCTTATATGGCTAGAGTTATATGCTGACGTTAGTATTAGCACTTCTATATAGTAACAGAGGGACACGAGGTCTCTCAGTCTTGGTCTCACTCTTGGCTTGGCTCTGTACAACGATGTAACTCTCCCATCAGAAGTCCAGCAATTACCATCTGCTGTTAAATGTCCATTATCCTGTAACATCCTATATTATGTTTTATGTATCCGTAACTAAGAATAAACCTGAAGAAACCGTAAGTCAGATTGCGTATTACTACTTTTCAATAATATAGACATATATTATTGTAGCGAGCATTTGGCCCAAGAATATATATACAAAAGACGTATATATATCAATCAACTGAAGACAAGAAGAAATTAAGAAAGAGTCTACATTAACATCCATTCATCTAGTTTTTTTACATGCACAACCGTTCTCAGCATTGTTTTTGCACATATTAAAACCTGGGATGTATCAAATGTAAGGCATACGTTTTCATTTGCACATCATGAGCCCATGAAGTTATCACTTACTAAAGCAAAATCTGCACTTTAAAAAAAAATAAAAAAGTCTTTATTTTTGTCAGGCACCAATACAGCAAGATAATACATTGTGGTTTGTGCCGATTTTCATCTTCATAACCGAGTCAAGGTGCCAAAAAACACACAATATAAAATGCAAAATATAATATGTGAGGACATGTGCAGGTGTTTAATTTTGTCAAAACAAGAAAACAGGTGTCTGATGAGCCATATTCTGTGTGATAGTTTTTTTTTGCATCCACCATTGTTTTCATACCATACCCACCTTGAATCAGTAATAGAAGGATGTCTGCTCAACCCAGTAGCTGTTTCTAGGTGCCCTGATGGGAGTATCACTGACAGCAGTTTTGAAGTATACCCACCCAGATGTCGTTCTATTCAGAGAATCCAATGCCGCTGTGGGAGGGAGGGGGGGCATGGCTGTCTTTGCTTCCAATAATAAGACCTGTCACTGGGCAGGGAAATCTGCTATCTCGGCTCCCGGTAACTCACTCTGCCACTCGGAAGGGAGACCGGCTATCTCCGTTTCCGGTGCTGTAAACTGCCGTTGGGGAGGGAGGCTGACGTAACCCCAACTGCCACTCCGGAGGGAGACCGACTGTCTCATTTTCCAGGATTGCGCACTGCCAATGGGGATGGAGACAGGCACTCTCCGCTCCCAATAATACTACTTGTCGCTGGGGAGGGAGACCTGGACGACTACCGCCGATTTGCCCTTTTATGTTAATTTACGTTTGTGTACTCTCTGTTCAGACATTGCTTTCTGTACTGTATCACTGTTTCAATAAACTGCTATTTAAAGCAAAAAATATTAACATTTTTGTTTACAATCCATTTTGCTAAGCTTTTTTATTAATTGGTATTTTTTGCTGTACTGTATCTTCTTCTAGGTTCTAAAGGCCTTGAAACACGCTTTACAGCCCTCTGTGAAAGACATTGCCTTAAAATGGTCTCTTCCGGCTGGGGTGGAGTCTGTGCTACTGTCTAAAACCCCTAGTGCCATCTTCCAGGGTCAAAAATCTATCATTTATGCTCAGCTGAAAGGAACAGTAAGTGTAATGCATTGATAATGATTTTGTTCCGTATTGTTTTATTTTCATGTTGGCAATCAGTAAGATATGCAGACATCGGTATAATCAAATTTTATTATTCTTCCAGTCAGAATGCAGAAAGTGACTGTTCATGAGTCTAACTCAGAATATGTTCACTGTTAGAAGTTGTTGTTTTGTTTTTTAAATCTCATATTGTATTAGTCATTTTAAGTTCTTTAACAAAAGAGAAAAAATAGAGAAAAGAAACAGTAAGTTCTCAGTAAACATTACACTCTCAGCACCCAGTAATCCCCTACCATCTAAGGTGCATTTGACTCTGTGCCACACAGGAGCCTTGTCATGTCTTATTGTACTAACAGCTTGGAAGTTTCCAGGCACCCCAGACTCGTATGACATTATCGGCTGCCCCCTTCTCTTCCGACCAGCCAAAGCCCATGAAATCAAAGAAGGCAACACCCAAAGAGGGGAAAAAAGGCCCCACTTGTCCAACTTGTATCTAGGTGCAACCCCATCTGCTCCTCATATTTCCCCACCAGTCTGCTTTCGAATCATGACTCCTGCCTTGACAGGCACAGCCCCTTATGTCACAATCTCCCTGTTCTTCCCAACCCCTATAGCTCCCTCCCATCTGGACATGTATACATTCCAGGGTATCCATTGTTCAGTGTGTTTGAGCACCCTGCCCTGCAAGGAGACCATCATGTATGTGGCCACTCTAATCTACACCACCCGCCCCAGGCACTGTTGTTTAGTGGGAGTCTCCTGCTTTTTCCAGAGGGGAGGTACCAGCAACTTAGCGGCATTCATCCATTTCCTTGAACTTTTGTAATTTCTGTCCTCTCCCACATTATCTTGACCGTGCTCCTGTCCTGTTAGCAGAGTTAGGTTCATATTGATGTTATGGTTAGGGAGGGAGGAGTGTGTGAACTGTCATGTTTAGCTCACCCAAATAGCTAACTACATGTTATTAACTAAATGTTAGCTATTGATTGCACAAAAAGTTTAAAAAAAATCTTTATATTTACTAACATAGGTTGAGCAAAGTATGTCAACTTGATAACTCTTGCAGTGTTGTGTAAACATAGTGCGTGTGTGCGGTACTCCTTGAGCCAATTCAGAATTTCTCTGTTAGATGCCTGAGCTCTTTGGGTTAAACAAAGAACTGTAACTTCTCTGGAAGCAGTAAATATGACATTTAGGATTTTGATTGGAGTTACAATTGGCACTCGAGTTAGCAACAGTTGTGAACAGTGAGAATAATAAAGGTTAGTTACAGAATAACTGTTAAAGTTAGAATCTAATTTTGGGTTAGTCTTAGATGTATCTCTTATCTGTTTGTTTGTTTTTTGTGTAGGTGGATGAGCATTCTAAGGGTGAAGTTTCTTTGGAGTACAAATTTAAAGATGACATTTTCAGGAATGTTCTGCCATTGTCTTTTCATGTTGGAAAAACTGAGAGGTAAGGGAAGTCTATAAACAATGAGTATTTATAGTGATACATCTAGGAACAGAATTGACACAAGTGTAGAGAAACTGCAGGTAGCAGTATTAATATACTGCTACTTTGATGTCTTCGCTGCTTCTAAATTGTCTATTTTACATTCTATTGTTTATCTTTTCTTTTAGATTTTACAGTGTGCAGTATAGGGTAATACAAACAGTGCTGTGGGAATGAAGCATGAACCATATAGTTTTATGTCAAATCTCTTCCCATTTTAGACCCACCATTCACAGACTGGCAGCCAAGGCTCTAATCTCTGAGCTGGAGAATGGAACAGACTCCGATTCAGAGGAGGTGAAGAAGAGGATATTGGAGACCAGCATTCAGTCTGGAGTAATCTCGTCTCTCACATCCTATGTAGCTGTCAATAAGGAAACCAAGCAGCCTGTGCAGGGTCCTCCCGTGCATCGGGATATACCAGCTCCAGGTTAGACACTATCCAAGTCCAGAACTGGGTCATGCAGAATGTCCAGGCCCAGGGAAAGAATCTTAGTGTATAGAGGAAGTAAAACTCATTATTTAAAGGGATATATCAGTCTGTAAAAATTGTTTAAAGGAAAAAAAAACTAGTCACCTCTTTATTAACCCCTGAAGAAGCAGCATTTCAACCTGGATTAAAGGTGAATTTTAATCACTATAACCACAACAGTCTCAGGTGTGTACACACCGCAAATGCGACACTCGGGCGATATGCAGCCTGTTAAGTCTATATGTATCCCATGACCACCACATTTTTTTATTGTTCATTTAAACATTTTACACAATAGCCTCTAAACCTCCCCTTGTGTCAGAATTCTTAAAGGGAAAATGGATCAGTTTCTGTGTGTGCAATAGTTGAATGTGGTCTTTTATGTTTGTATTTGAGACTGTGTGTGTGCTTAGACTTATAGATCTGAATTTGTACCTAAATGCATTAATAAATGTTGTATCTAAGTTGGTTCAATTTCCGGATCTCCATTCAGGATGTGTAAATGTGTGTGGGTTGATCTGTAAGAATGAATTGGTTCTAAATAGATTTGCTCCATAAGCCCATTGTTCTGCCCATTACTTGCCCCACTATTACCATTATAGAGGATTTAAATCGAAATACTATATATTAAAAATCAATATTCATTTTACAGGATTTGTGAAAAAACACAGGATGTAAAAGCACTTAATCACAGCAAGAGGCATATGTCACTCTATACAGGGAGTGCAGAATTATTAGGCAAGTTGTATTTTTGGGGATTAATTTTATTATTGAACAACAACCATGTTCTCAATGAACCCAAAAAACTCATTAATATCAAAGCTGAATATTTTTGGAAGTAGTTTTTAGTTTGTTTTTAGTTATAGCTATGTTAGGGGGATATCTGTGTGTGCAGGTAACTATTACTGTGCATAATTATTAGGCAACTTAACAAAAAACAAATATATACCCATTTCAATTATTTATTATTACCAGTGAAACCAATATAACATCTCAACATTCACAAATATACATTTCTGACATTCAAAAACAAAACAAAAACAAATCAGTGACCAATATAGCCACCTTTCTTTGCAAGGACACTCAAAAGCCTGCCATCCATGGATTCTGTCAGTGTTTTGATCTGTTCACCATCAACATTGCGTGCAGCAGCAACCACAGCCTCCCAGACACTGTTCAGAGAGGTGTACTGTTTTCCCTCCTTGTAAATCTCCCATTTGATGATGGACCACAGGTTCTCAATGGGGTTCAGATCAGGTGAACAAGGAGGCCATGTCATTAGATTTTCTTCTTTTATACCCTTTCTTGCCAGCCACGCTGTGGAGTACTTGGACGCGTGTGATGGAGCATTGTCCTGCATGAAAATCATGTTTTTCTTGAAGGATGCAGACTTCTTCCTGTACCACTGCTTGAAGAAGGTGTCTTCCAGGAACTGGCAGTAGGACTGGGAGTTGAGCTTGACTCCATCCTCAACCCGAAAAGGCCCCACAAGCTCATCTTTGATTATACCAGCCCAAACCAGTACTCCACCTCCACCTTGCTGGCGTCTGAGTCGGACTGGAGCTCTCTGCCCTTTACCAATCCAGCCACAGGCCCATCCATCTGGCCCATCAAGAATCACTCTCATTTCATCAGTCCATAAAACCTTAGAAAAATCAGTCTTGAGATATTTCTTGGCCCAGTCTTGATGTTTCAGCTTGTGTGTCTTGTTCAGTGGTGGTCGTCTTTCAGCCTTTCTTACCTTGGCCATGTCTCTGAGTATTGCACACCTTGTGCTTTTGGGCACTCCAGTGATGTTGCAGCTCTGAAATATGGCCAAACTGGTGGCAAGTGGCATCGTGGCAGCTGCACGCTTGACTTTTCTCAGTTCATGGGCAGTTATTTTGCGCCTTGGTTTTTCCACACGCTTCTTGCGACCCTGTTGACTATTTTGAATGAAACGCTTGATTGTTCGATGATCACGCTTCAGAAGCTTTGCAATTTTAAGAGTGCTGCATCCCTCTGCAAGATATCTCACTATTTTTGACTTTTCTGAGCCTGTCAAGTCCTTCTTTTGACCCATTTTGCCAAAGGAAAGGAAGTTGCCTAATAATTATGCACACCTGATATAGGGTGTTGATGTCATTAGACCACACCCCTTCTCATTACAGAGATGCACATCACCTAATATGCTTAATTGGTAGTAGGCTTTTCGAGCCTATACAGCTTGGAGTAAGACAACATGCATAAAGAGGATGATGTGGTCAAAATACTAATTTGCCTAATAATTCTGCACTCCCTGTATATCAAGAAGGAAACGGTGACAGAAAATAAATAGAAAAATAAACGCAAAACAGTATACTTAAAATATGTATTGCTATTAGATATGCTCTCTACAGTACATGCAAAAAAAATGTACAAAAGTTGTTTGGTATGTTAAGTATTATTTCTGCTGGTGGCCAAGAAAGGGAGAAAATTGTACAAATAAAACAATGTAGTACAATTACTACATCTAACTGGGGCAGTGTATATGGTTATTACAGAGAAGTGAAGTATGTAAGTTGATTAACTTTATATGTGTTCTTCTCTCTCAGGTTTAATGATGATGCGGTCCATGCCTTTCTCCCTGCCAGGGAGACCTATGGCAATGGCTTGTGCGATGCCTAAGAGGGCAGCTTGTGCACAAGTAAAGTCTGGCGGTGGAGACATGCCTCAAACTGTGAAGTGTGTTCACAAGAGAAAAAGCAAGAAAAACAGTTCTCATGAGGAAACTTATTGTAAGTTCTGTAATTTCCCTTAATATCCTCAGCTTCTTCTAATAAAGAATTCTGTATAGTAAATTACATTTTGTAGATAAGGTTGAGAAACAGCGTGATTAGCTTATGTTCATACGCATATTTCCTACAATATTGATAGCTCCTATGTATTTAGACATTGCAGATAAAGCTAGATGGTTGATGGCGATTTAAATATTTTTTTTATGTGGTTCTTTTAGCGTTAAGGTTTTACCGTTGCAGTACCTGGTAATAGCCCAGTTCATGCAATTCACACCATCCTAGCAGAAGAATGACACCAGGTGCCACATCACAGCATCTTTTATTAATGTAGAACCAAAACAAAATATGTCAGAACCTGTGGGATACAGTAGTATACCTAAAAAATAAACAGAACATGGTGTGATAAAAATAATAATAAATCGTGAAAAGACTGCACTCACAAACTTCAGGAGAATTCAAGCATCTCGCAAATCCTTTGCTCTAGAGGATGAGAGGGAGTGGGGAGGATTTGTGAGATGCTTGAATTCTCCTGAAGTTTGTGAGTGCAGTCTTTTCAGGATTTATTATTATTTTAATCACACCGTGTTCTCTTTATTTTTTATATTTTAGATATACTACTGTATCCCACTGGTTCTGACATATTTTGTTTTGCTCTATGTAAGATCACTTACAGGGAAGTGGTTGTGGGAAGCTGTATACAAAAGTTAAGTTTATTATTTATTTACCGCTTTTCGCACATGTTGGGTGAATATAGGGGTATTCGTATATACTATTAATGTAAAACCATTGCCCTCTAGCTTGCCAGCACTGATTCAAACCTTGACTGCATGTCAACACAGAGATCCTACTGCTGCAATATCAGTATCCTTTTTTTTAATTCTTGCACCTGACAGCGCATTAGCTTAGTAGGTTATTGTGGTTTTTGACTTGTTACAATTATTTATATAGCGCCACCATTTCTGCAGTGCTGTACAATAGATAAACAAGTTAAATAATTCTAACAAAAACATGAGTGATATACTGGAACAATAGGTGCAGAGGTCCCTGCCCAAACTAGCACACAATCTAAAAGGATGAGGGAAAAATACACAAAGGGAATTAAGCCATTAGCAAAACCTTGGGTTAAAAGTTATCCAGCCAGGGGGCGTGACTCCGGGCACTAATGGAGACATTCTGGGCCTCCTGAAAAATGTTCGCACCTTGTTCCAAGCAAATATTGCGTTGCTGCTGGAAGAGTCAACAGCAGTCATAGATTGGTTGAAAGCTGGTGAGGAGGATGTTTTCTCTGACACAACGCTATGTCTCATCCTCACACCAGGCCCTGCAGGCCAGACTAGATGTGCTGGTCGACCCACAACAATGCAGTATGAGCTGCCTCACTTCTTCTGACGCAATCTACCTGCTATCCTGCACCCCAGGCAGGCTAAAAACACTTCAGTGTATGGCTCATATCGGCTCACCAAGACCTGTTTTCAGTTGTTTGGGGATAAGATGGCAGAGGCGCTTAAAAGTAAGAGCTCCTTCAAATTTGAGGATATGTAGCTCACTTTCCTGCAGAACCTCTGCAGGGCCACGCTGGACAGAAGAAACTCAGTCCATCGGGTTACTCTGACCCTCCGAGAAGCTGGCATCAGGTACAGATGAGGTCTATCCTGCACACTCCTGGCCTTCAAGGGAGATTACCACCTTATCACTTATTTCGTGTGAGAACTCAGGCTCCCTCCTTACAAGGTTGCGGCTTGACTAGCCTAATTGCAGCAACCACTCTGCTGGATGCTGCTCTGCAGCAGACAACGGCTGAGACAGTCATGACATTCTTGGTGTACGATTTGCCACTATTTTGTGGAGTGCGTTGCCAAAATGTGTCCCAGATAGCTATTTTTCATTGTTCTTGCATTAGTTTTTACATTTTTCGTTTTGATTTTGCAGTTCTTCTTAGTCTCATGATTGAATCTAAATCTCTGTCTTTAAGTCAGGTCCGACCAACCATCATCCCTCCCCATCGTGGTGCTCAGGGGTTATTAAACTATAAATGTTTACCCTCTTGTCCTTGTAGTTACGCATAACATTCTAATTTTGTTTGATTCTGTTTTATCATATGTTATACTATTTACTTTTAATACTTATAGTCTTAACAGCCAATTTATGGCTTACTCTCAGTACTTTAGGGCTCCTAGGCTGTCCTGTTTCTCTGACTGTTCATTACCAAATGGCTTCCCTCTGTAGGTTTTACTAATGTATACCTTGCCTGCCTTTACTATAGTAGCCCAAATAGTAGCTGGTTGTGGCCACTTAGACTGCCTTGCCCATCTTCATTATATATTAAAAAGCCCTTCTTCCAGCCATCTCTATCTTCTCTAGTCATAAGCAAAATGTAGCCTTCTGGAGGACCATATCAAGACTTTATCCTGCATATTATAATTGCAATTATATTTTACACACCTTGCAATTTTGTATTTATTTTTTTGCAACTTCTATTAGTCAGATCCTGGGTAATCTAAGCATATTCCTGAATGTGTGTGATTTTAAAGTACACAAGTATCCAACTCCCTCTAGCATGTAAGCTCATTGAGCAGGACCCTCAACCCCTCTGTTCCTGTGTGTCCAACTTGTCTGGTTACAACTACATGTCTGTTAGTCCACCCACTGTAAGGTGCTGCGGAATTTGTTGGCGCTATATAAATAATAACTTAATAATAATAATCATAATAATACCCAGTTTTAACATACATATACGAACCACTAATAACATGCAATTTCTTTTTCTTCAGATCTGATGTACTTAATTTAATTGGTATCAGTTTAATTTATTTATTGTTTTCTTAGCTTCAGGCCCCGAATCCACAGACATGTCAACGACTGAGATTCCTGCTCTTTTCAGATTGATTTCTCTGCAGAATGCAGACGGTTCATGGAGCCTCAGCCCTGAATTGGCTGCTGTCCTAAGTTTAAGCGAGGACACGCTTAAGCAGGGAAAGCCTCAACAGGTATTTACCAATGAGTTATATTTCATACCTAGTAACTAATCAACTTTTCCAGATACAAACGTAATCACTCAATTGGTTGTGGTTTAGATGTGGCTGTTAGTAGTGATGACAGAAAGGACTTGTACAGCAGCAATATCCATAGGTGCAATCATTCCTCAGATTTTAGTTGAAAAGTTACAAATGTTTAGATATTACACTTGTTGGGTATAGCTATGTGGTTAAAATGGTAATTTTACCATATATCTTAAATCGTTACTGCTGCTTACCTGTACCATTAGTTATGTCCTATATTGATGGGAAGAGAAGTATTGATTTGGGGTTAAGTAAACTCAATGGCTCTCCGGATGATGGCTAGATCATGTATGTGAGCCTGAGGTGGCCTTGCGGTGCCAAAACTGGAGTTAAATTATTGCAAGGCTGTTGTAAATGTTGAGGTAGAATTATCCTGTGTGTAAAGTCTGTTGTGTAGACATTGAGATGATGATACCTCTTGGGAGGTTGCCATGGTCAACTTTTCCAAAAGCCAATGTTGACCATGGATTTTCTCGCTATGCAAACCTGCAAATTTGGGAAATCAGTGAGAGATGGGTTCTCCCCGCTTTACTCTGCTGTGTTTCCAGTAGTTTGCAACTCAGAGTTCTATAGATGGTCACAAAATTGAAAACTTTAATTTGTGGCTAGAGCATCCGATTGTGACTATTGTTGACATCGTCCATAGAGGGAGGAGAGTAATCCCAGATGTAGAGGACTTTTACAGTCGATTCTGTGTATATATCTCAGTTCACAAGGAATCTGGTGAACTCAAAGTACTTTCCAAGTGATATATTTTATTTAAGTCAGTGAAAGAGTTATAGTTGTCTAGGTTGAAAAAAGGTTAATCAAGTTCGACCATGATGCCCATTTTTTCTGCTGTTGATCTAAAAGGAGAAAAAGTGGTAGCATTCTCTAGTTATGCCACAAAAAGGGGAAAATCCTTCTTAACTCCATAATGGCAGTCCGATTTCTCCTTGGATTAACAACCTTTTGACATACGTATCAATTATATCCTTGAACATTCTGTTTATGCAAAAGAGCATCCAAAACTTTTTTTTAATTATCTATAGAATCTGATAACACAACCACTTTAGGCAGAGGATTCCACATCTGTATTGTTCTTACTGTGAAGATGCCTTTCTGCCAGTCTCAGTGGGTGACCTCTTGTCTGTTGTACATACCTGCTAATTAACAAGTTAGCACACACACACACATATATATATATATATATATATATAGTGACAAACTTACTTTCCTGTGTGTGTTTGTCCAGGATCTTTTGGCAACCGCACAGCCCTCTAGGGTAAGAAAACCAGGTCAAGACAAAGTCCAGTTTCAAAAAGGCCTCTGGCCTGTTTATTTTCTGTTGTTGTGAAGTAACAGGATACAATGAACAGCAAATCTTCTTTCTCCTCCAAAACACTTCCCTCACTTCACCCTGCTTTAACTGCAGTTATATCGCTGCTCACAGCCCCTACAGGTGAGGCTAATGACCTCGTTAGGCAGTGAGCCAGAACTCTATGGAAAACCTGGGCTGGACTCATGCACAACCACTCTGACAGTTATTTGTCGGTAGTTTCAACATACGTACATAGCAAGTAAATATTTACAACTATCTATTTTTCTTCTTTCGTCTTGGGTTTGGGGTGGGGTACAGAAGTAAGAGGGGTGAGGGTGAGGGTGAGGGTGATTTCTCGTTTGCGGTTTGTAACATACATTTTGGGATATATTGTGATTCCCTTTCCCTTGCCCCCTCCCCCCATTTGGGGGGGGGGATGCGGTGAGACTTTCAAACAGAGGGAAGCGGGGGTTAGGCGTTAGTCGCGTGGTTTGTCGGGCATAAGCCCATGTGTGCTGTTGTAGTTTTCTCACTGTGGATACTGTCCTCTTGTCATGTTTCTGTGGTTTTCTGGGTTCTGTTCAGTGTTTTGATCTTTGGTCTGTGGGTAAAGATGTCTTTATTTTATTAAATTTAGCCTTTAGAAATAAACATTTTTGCACAGCCCATATAAATGTGGGTTTTTTTTTTGTTTTTGTTTTTAAATCTCAAATTATGCAATAATATTGTCACTTTCTCAGGTGCCCCACAACTCGAATGTTTGGATCTTGTCTTAACTAATAATTTAGTTTTATTTTCAGACAATATAGAAACATAGATTGTGACGGCAGATAAGAACCATTCGACCCATCTAGTCTGGCCAATTTTCTAAATACTTGCATTAGTCCCTGGCCTTATCTTATAGCTAGGATAGATACATATTAAGATCCTTTAACCTTTCCTTGTAAGTTTTATCCTGCAATAAATGAACCAGTTTAGTAGCCCTTCTCTGAACTCTCTCTAAAGTATCAATATCCTTCTGGAGATACGGTCTTCAGTACTGCGTACAATACTCCCAAGTGAGGTCTCACCAGTGTTCTGTACAATGGCATGAGCACTTCCCTCTTTCTACTGCTAATACCTCTCCCTATACAACCAAGCATTCTGCTAGCATTTCCTGCTGCTCTATTACACTGTCTGCCTACCTTTAAGTCATCAGAAATAATCACCCCTAAATCCCTTTCCTCAGATGTTGAGGTTAGGACTCTATCAAATATTCTGTACTCTGCCCTTGGGTTTTTTAAGTCCAAGATGCATTATCTTGCACTTATCCATTTTTCTAGTTTACCTAAATCATTTGCCATTTGACTTATCCCTCCTGGAACATCAACCCTGTTATATCTTAGTATCATCAGCAAAAAGACATACCTTACCATCAAGACCCTCTGCAATATCACTAATAAAAATATTAAAGAGAATGGGTCCAAGTACAGATCCCTGAGGTACCCCACTGGTAACAAGACCATGCTTCGAATATACTCCATTGACTCCAACCCTCTGTTGCCTGTCACTCAGCCACTGCCTTACCCATTCAACAATATTGCAATCCAAACTTAAAGATTGCAATTTATTGATAAGCCTTCTATGTGCAACAGTGTCAAAAGCCTTACTGAAATCTAGGTAAGCAATGTCTACTGCACCACCATGATGTATTATTTTAGTTACTCAATCAAAAAAATCAATAAGATTAGTTTGGCATGATCTCCCTGAAGTAAACCCATGTTGCCTTTGATCTTGAAACCCATGTGTTTTTAGATGTTCAACAATCCTATCCTTTAACATGGTTTCCATCACTTTCCCCACTACTGAAGTAAGGCTCACTGGCCTATAGTTGCCCGACTCCTCCCTATTACCTTTCTTGTGAATGGGCACAATATTCGCTAATTTCCAATCTTCTGGGACTACTACTGTTAATAATGTTAACAATGATTGGTTAAAGTAACAGGATACTAGTTAGTACACCACTAAGCTCTTTTAATAGCTTTGGGTGTATTCCATCTCTCTCGTGGGTGTTTCTTTTATTAGAGACATGGGTTTATAATTTATTAAGTTAAAAAACTTGTTTCCCTTAACTGTACTACTAGCCCCTCTGGCCCAATCAATATCTGGATAATTAAAATCTCCCATGATTGAAAATTACCCAGTTATGCAGCTTTATTAATTTGAGATAGCAGTTGCTCTTCCTACTAATAATGGATATCGACTGTTTCCTCTTGACTTCAAATCAGATTTACTATAAAGATATACCCAAAGATAAAAATAGCAAAGTATATGCTCGCCAAAAGTAAATACAAACAAAGTAAAATAAAAAAAAAACATTATATCATTAATATGCTTACAGCATCAAGAATGAACGACCAAAGTTGAGGTCTCACTGCAATATCCACTAAATTATAAAAACACAAAGTAACAATATATCGCGGGCGGGGCCCAACTGTCATGGTAGTGAGACATGTCCTGTTCGAGCTCCTCCACTATTTCAAAGAAATAAGCATTTTCTAGGCTCTTCTGGCTCATATTGTGTCAAAAAACACTTGCATTATCGTACCCTCACCTTAGTGGACTTGCCAAGAGGTAATCTGCCACAAGTCCAAAGCTTACCTACTCCACATCCAATCATGCGGCCCAGTGCGCACCGGGCGGTAGAGAAGGCCGATCGTCACATCCGGAGGTGCACAACAGCTCCAGAACAAACAAAAACCTTGATATATCCCTCATGTTTGTTGAAAGCTGGAATAGAGGATGCACCAACCTGACCCACTACAAGCGAGTACATACTCACCCAGAGTGCCATCCCTCCCTCCACATCGGGAGCCTCCAGCCCACAAGGTGAAGAAGGCCCCAAAATGGCAGAGACGCAAGCTCCATCCTTTGCCTCAGCGCCGATCGACACGAGAAAGAGCCCTTGCGGTCCATACTGGGATCTCACCGAATGTCGGAGGTGCGGCAGAGAACCAAGACACTACCAAGCTACTGGACCCACCAGTCTCCATGTGGGCTTGGGGTCCCAAAGAGTGCCTATATATTGCAGGGCTGTGTTCAACCCATACAGGGTGTAGGGTGAATAAGCATTTTGGAGGAGGCCCTGATCACCTCCTGTTCACTGACCTTTTGCAAGTTGTTATATGCTACTGTGTTATACTTTTTTTTTTTTCTTCTGCTGAGACCTGCCTTACATATATCATTATCCTCTCCTATCACACTACTCACCTGGGCGCCTTCCAGGGTAACTCTCTAGTTAAGTTACTACCCAATCTCTTTTCACTTGTTTTTATGACACTCTGGACTCAGATTTACAGCCTGTTCTTTCTTATTATGTTAAACCTCAAATGTCATTATTAACCTGTGTACGTAATCCTGCACTTCAAAAATAAAGAATTTAAAAAGAAAAGTAGCAATATATCTCTAACAACACACAAATAATTAAAAACACAATTACATATAACACAAATATTTCAAATAAACTTGAAGCAGCATGAAGCAGTTCAAATGGAGTATTTGTGTAAAAAAAGGAAAAGGGGGCCAATCTTCCAAACTTCACTAAATCAGTTCCAAAATATCCTAAAAAAAAGACCAAAACTGGAAAAAATAGATCAATCAAAGAAAATAAGACTATACATATAATCCACAAAAACAATGGAGTAGATATAACTGCAAGTGAGATCTCCCCTTTGGAAAAAAACTATAGTGCAAAAAGAAAGGGACTGATCCCAAAAGTACCTGACCGATGCTACTTTGTGTTTTTATAACTTAGTGGTTATTGCAGTGAGAAATCAACTTTGGTCGTTCATTCTGAATGCTGTAAGCATATTCTTGAGCTTATCAATAAAACGTTTATTTTATTTTGTTTATATTTACTTTTGGTGTGCACATACTTTGCTATTTTAATTTTTGTGTCTTTTCTCAAGTCGCTATTTATATGTATGTTGCTGCCCTTACTGATTTTATCTTTAGTCCTTCCGTTTTAGATATTTGAGATTTTATAAAGATATACCCATCCCCCTACTAAGCCTTAGTAATCACAATTATGTCATACTGCTCCTTGTAAGTCAATATCTCAAGCTCCCTGTTTTCTAACCCACGATTCTTGCATTAGCAAGCATACTTTTAAGAGAGAGATCAGCTATGCCTCACTGATGATGCCTAACAAGGTTGAAACGATTGTCTGGGGTTGCTGTGTCTCTTGTGCAGAGGGAACTTGCTGGCATTTCGGATCTGGACTGGCGGTACAGGTGGGACCAGTCTGATATGCTTCAGATATGTTCTCTTTGTAATGGCACAGGGTGAGCTAAAACCAGCTTGAGATCTGAGCGTGGACCCACCGAAGGGCAGACTATTTCAGCTGCTGCCTGTTCTCAGTACACTCTTGCGCCTTGTTTTTTGCTCTCCTTTATTTGAACAACACCTATTTTAATACCTTCTTGCTCTAGGATACACCAGTATCCTATAAATCTGACTGACGTGTTAGCCCTACCTGATCTTTTTTAAAGATCCTTAAAATTTCTCAAAGTCCTGTGAGTGAACCAGTCTTTGTGGATTGTTATATAGATAGCAGTGGGTTACATCCAGGTACAGTATATTAAAGATAGAGTTTGGTTTGTTTATATATGTTGGAGGGCCATTTGGCCTGAATAAGTGGGAGGAGTTATGATCCTATATAAACCCTACCCCCTACTTACCTTTGTCGTGCAAGCTGTTTGTCTTCTTCATAGCAACCAGCACTTCCGGTCCGTTGTTCCCACCAAAGTCAGTCTCCAGCAAGCAGTCCATCGCCAGCAGCATCTGCCTCCGTCTTCCGTGCCTGTCCACCGGCTTCTACCCGACTTCCCTACTCACTACCCGGCTACCGGTCACGAGACCGGCATGTCCACGCAAGCATAACGTGGGAAATAGCGTTCGGCTATTTCCCACGTTCAGCCCTAAAAACGCGGGTATAGGCTCCCTTCATTATTTACCTATTCGTGCAATTACGCTGTTCGTGTACTTCCGCGTTTGTGCGGCTAACAGCCGAACACGGAATACACACGCTTTCGTTTTACTTTAGTTTAAATCAATTTACCGTACGTACATACTTACCCTACGTTCGTCTGTTCTTTCGTACGTTCGTACAGCCGAACACATTCAAACTGCTTTTTCGTGCAACCTTTCGTTAGCCTTTCGCACTTCTTTAGGGCTACAGCTAGGGCTTCTCAAGTCACGGCCACACGTTTTGAATCTCTTACGGTCACCGAGAGGCCAACATCCTGCCACCTCGTTCAAGTGGCCACAAAATTCCCTCGGCCCAAATCATAGGTAGAGCCTCTCTCCGCCACTTGGCACTAGCAGGGCTTCACCTGTCACTCGGTTCTAGGTAAATTTTTCGCCTCGGCACTAGCTAACAGGCCAGTTCTCCGAAGGTCTCATCCCCACCTCTATGACACCTTACTTATCCAAATCATTATTTCTTTTCAGAATGTCACAAGAATCCATCGCAATAATCGGTCTGCTGTTAGACGAAATACCCAGCACGCCAGTCAGGCCTGGGTCTCCAAAGGAATCCCTCATCCCTTCTTTGTTCATTCCCTTCTTTGTTCGTTCCATACATCCATACCCCTCATACAGCCCTATTTCGCCATCCAGCAGCTCAGGATTAACATTAAGCACTCTGCCTTCCACTACAATACCTCTACACGTGGCCCTCACCAAGCCTTCACTCCATACGTTTACACATGGTCCTCTATGGGCACTATGGCAAATCCGGCCCCTCATCTGGGCAGTTACATACGTCAATTTCGGCCCCGCATTTGGGCAATTACATATGTCAAATTCCTAATATACGAGGGTCAAAGAAATACAACCTTTCATACTACATTCCTAATATTACGCATGGCCTCGTTAGGCCCACGTAAGTCTTTTTTCCTCTCTCAGCACACTCCCGAGAATATATATATTTGTGCGGAAGAAGGAGAAGCAAAGTTGGTTGAGGTGTGCCGAAACCAACGTACAAGTAGGCCTGTAAAAGAGGGCCCACAAAGGTGAATTGTTAATATAGATGGGTGTAGGTGGGTGGGGACAAACAGCTTGCACAACAAAGGTAAGTAGGGGGGCAGGGTTTATATAGGATCATAACTCCTCCCACAAATTCAGGCCAAATGGCCTTCCAACTTGTGCTCAGAATTTATCTAATACGTAATGGAATGTAGAAGGAGAAGCAAAGTTGGTTTAGGTGTGCCGAAACCAACGTACGAGTAGGCCTGTAAAAGAGGGCAAAAGAGGATTCAAAGAAAACTCACTTTATGGAAGTTTATACAGCGTGGGTACTGAAAGCTTGTAAGGAGCTTTTACTCTGATTGAGGTATATATGAAACTGCGCTGAGGATTAGCTGTGGCCCCATCACTTAGTGATGTAGACTGGAGTGTAAGAGCTTGAAGCTGCTGATGCAGCGCTTTGCGACAGAGAGACCAGCGAAGGAAGCCATGATGTAGCTCCACCTAAATGGAAGGTTTTAGACGTGAAGTAGTGGATTAGGACTGATAGTGTGTGGTTGACCTTGGAGATGTAAAGCGGAGTGACAGCATAGGAGGTTAAGTAAGATGCTTGATTTGTAGGTTTGGAGAAAGAGGCAAAAAACAAAACAAACAATATTTTAACTGCAAAAGTCTTGATTCAAGCAAACTCTAATTGTGACATGTACAATATAAAAGGCCCTGGCGTGAGTGATAGAGTAGTCGTGAAACTGCGTGAAGCGTGCTCACCTGTACATGGTGTAATTGTGTGCTTAGTCCAAGATTAGCTCATTGAATGGTGGTATCCTGCATGGTATGTAGTGGATCGTAGGGAGTGCCTGAAAGAAGACCTTATATTGAGAGCGTGCAAAAGTGTCAGCGGCTGTGTAGTGGACACCGGGAATGAAAATGTAGACTAGAAAGAACTGAGGGGTTGCTGCCTGCCAGATCAGCCTGCAAATCAGCCACAGTGGCGGCGAGTATGAACGCCCTTGCTAATGAAATTGCAGGCTGCGGAGTTGTCAGAGCAGCATTTAACTGCTCTGCTGGTCTAAAAGATGACCCCATGTGAGGGAGGCCACCAGGAAGGGGTAGATCTCCAACAAAGAAGAGGTCTCTCTAAAGGCCGGCAAGGCATCCGTCTCAGTGGGCCAGGCATCCCTAACGAGTCGTTGCTGAAAAATGGCTGTGAACCCTGTGCTGCTGCGTCTGTGTGAATTTAAAGTGAGTGTGTTGAAAGTGGGGGAATGAACGAAGAGATCACAATCCATGCGGCCGAAAAACAACTCCAATTGTGGAAAACTGCCATGGCTGGATCGCCCGAATGCTTGGGCATGGGTCGGCATCTCGTGGAGCAAATTTAAGTAGCCCAGGGACAAGAGGCCAACCCTGTGGAATGATATGCACAACAAAGTTGAGGGACCTAAACCAGGACTGAAGCCCCCACCTATTGTGCGCAACAAAGGACAAATCCGTTCCTAATGCGGGACAGATCGTCTGGTATACTGGCTTGGAAAGAAGTGGAGTCCAATATTATGCCCCAGAAAGCGAGCCTGGAAGAGGGACCGACTGTTCCCTGGTGACAGAGGGACCCCGAGTGTCGTGAAAGGGGGGGTTGAGGGGCTGTGGTGGTGTGAACACTGTTAGGTCTTTGTGAACCCGTTAAATCAACAAAAATTCATCCAGATAGTGGATGACTGATGGACGCCTGAATATAGGAGCAGCCAGCAGAAGGTTTCTGCAGAGGGTGGTACGGAAGGGGTCTATGATCAAACATATTTTTTGTATAGTGAATGGCTACCCCGATGGGAGTGATACACCAAGATGAGAAACATGAAGACCGGAAAGGGCCGATCGTGAAACCAGCGTATGATTGCTGTGGACAGAAGGTGGTCCACCGTAAGTGGGTCAATAGATGTAGATAATAGGTTAGGGCATACGAGTGCGCCTGTGGGGTTGGCGATAAGACCCGTGTGAAACCCCTGTGAGAAACCCGGCATCAGAATCTACCAGATGCCTAGCTGGGTGTGAATGCAGATAGTATTTCAGTTTATCAATGTTGACCTTAGTTAGGAGTATTTTAGGTGACAGTCGGGCTGTATATGTGGACTAGGTGTGGCTTCTGGAGCAGATGAAGCAGATGTGTGATACTGTGAGTGCAAGCCTTTTTTCATTTGTTTTATATATATTAAATAGTCCTTAGATAATATATATATAAAAACAAATGAAAAAAGGTTTGCACTCACGGTCTTGTAATGTAAAATGTAGCATTCTTTATTCAAAATTATTCCATAAAATCGTCACATCAACGTTTCAGCCCTCGTCCGGATGAACTGACAACAATCAGTTTATCCTGAAGAAAGCCCCAGACGAGGGCTGATACGTTGGTGTGACGATTTTATGGAATCATTTTGAATAAAGAATACTACATTACAAGACCGTGAGTGCAAGCCTTTTTTCATTTGTTTATATACATAAACATACAAAATAGATAGTCCACCTCACTCTCTTATGCACTAAACAATGATTTCAAATCTCACAGATTATAATAGTTTTACTTAAAAACACCTCACCTAGTCAAAAAATAATGGGGGTTTAGTTATATTATATGATCATATTTCAATATATATATATAATGCCAAAATACCAGAGTATTACATCATGCAATGATACCTTTTTTTATTGGACTAACATAATAATTAAAAGACAAGCTTTCGAGAGTTCCCTGGACTAAAACGGCTAATCCAATTTACACTATATATATATATATATATAGCCTAAAATGTGAAATTCACTTAAGTGGACTACAATAACAAATGAAACGTTAACATGAAGCTCCTACGATGTTTGAGAACTTATATTAAACATTACTTTACCTGTTTAATCCTCAGAGTACTGATGATTCGTTGTGGGTAACAGTTCTTGCTGTTATCTGGCTCCATGCTATGTCCTTCGATCAGAAAGATGAGTGGGAACTCCTGGAGGGCAAAGCTGTGTCCTGGATCAAGTCCAAAGCAGGTAAAGATTAGTAAGAGGAGAATAGCTGGTAATCCGGGGAGGATGTTTCACCTGATCTGAACTCAAGTTCTCTTTTTAAAAAAATTACAAATGACAGGGTAGTTCAACCATCCCAAAAGGCTACTTTTCTGCATAAATCCTCCTAATGTTTTTGTCTCATGTATTTTTGACAATGAAGAGCTAATGACAAGTGATGCATTAAGACTAACTTCCCAGGTTATGATATGTGTCTTATGGTATGTATGGTCCGTGTCCCCTGGGGCTATAGGTGAACTGTAACACTGGCTTCTCCTTCTCCCCACACACAGAAAGGTAATTCTAGACCGACACGTTATAGGAGTCAGTAAAATGACAGTTCCTTGTTCCCAAACCACAGTAAATTCTATTGCAGTGTTTACTGTGGTGAAACTTGGTGGGCAATCCTTCCACCACATGATGCCTCAGGCATGCTTGTTCATACTTGATCATTTACACAGAACTGCGATATGAGCTAATGCACACTGGGGTATTGCTTCACAAGTGCTGTATGTGTGCATGGTCGTGCAGGAGTTGAACAAACTTAATTTGCTGTACCTCTCTAAATGTTAATACCTAACCCTGGCAATAGTCCTTAGATAATGTATGTTGCAATCCCATAATAACAACCAATGCATAGATATTTAGCCACATATTGTAAAGTGATTTATTGTTAGCATTATATTAAATGGTGTTCTGGGGAGAGGAAGGGGTTAAACTTACCTCTTTCTCCAGCGCTGGGCGGGGAGCTCTCCTCCTCTTCGGCTGAGCTGCGCGCGCATTCATCCAGTCTCATAGGAAAGCATTTATAATGTTTTCCTATGGACGCTGGCGTCTTCTCACTGTAATTTTCACAGTGAGAAGCACGCAAACGCCTCTAGCGGCTGTCAATGAGACAGCCACTAGAGGCTTTAGAGGCTGGATTAACCTATTTATAAACATAGCAGTTTCTCTGACCCTAGCTGCACCAGGCACCCAGACCACTTCATTAAGCTGAAGTGGTCTGGGTGCCTATAGTGGTCCTTTAATAGCCCTGAAAAATATGTTTAAAATAAGTTTTTCTTACCTTAATCCAGCATCGGGCGTAGTTCCTGTAGCTGCGTGGCATGTCCCCTTGTGACATCACAGAAGCAGCGTGGAGGTCTAGAATCCTTTGGTTCAACCAGGGATGGAGAACATTTTCATGTTGGAAGGGTGCCTTCTTTTACCTGTAATCAAATAAGGCTACATTTAAGAAACTTCAATTAGATATTTTTAGAAATGTACATTATTTTGCAGAAATCTGACTACTATGTACTTGATCATTTCAAAAAATTCAAACTATGTGTTAATTTTTTGCGCACTGAAGGACTTAGAAAGCCACATTGGGCCTTATGCACGCATGTTCCATCTGGGCCATTTAAGATCTGGTAAACTCTGCTAATTGACACCTTATACTTTTTGTTATGGTCCTTTAATGTAGAAATAAAGCTGTTTAATTTATGCTAAGACTGTGGACAGTCCATGTTCTCCTTACATTAACCAACTGTGGAACCTATGAAGGAAGTTATAAACACCTCACCATAGTGTAATGAGACTACTAGTCCAGGTTTGGATCCATGGCTGACAGAAACATGTTGTATTCCCTTCTGGTGTTCTCTAATCTTCTGGTCAACCCAGAGATCTCCAAACTTCATAACAAACTATGTCATTTTGCAGGATCGTCTTTGAGTGAATTGGTGAAAGCTGGAAACAAGTTGTTAAACTCTTCAGTGGATCTTAAAGTTTTTGGCCTGTGAGAAGATGTTTGAAGACGATATGCTGCATTTTATTTTTTTATCGCTTTATAGACGGCAAATCGATTCTCGATTATTTCCGTCAGATAGGAATATATTGGTGCCTTCTCATATTACTCTCGCTCTGTAACCACTCAACCTATATAGTCAACAGCAAATTGTTAGCTTATGCCAAAGAGCAATGTTTCCATATTATTCTCTTGATTTGTCCTCTTATAAAAATATTTTCATAGTTAGTGTAACACTAATTAGACTTAATTATGTGTTCCTTTTTAAAGCTTTTATTTCATGGCATTGCTTTAAAGGCACATAGCTTATCATAGCAGCATATAAGTAACGGTGGAATTAATGGGATCAGTTATTTTACTTTTGTGGTGGGTTCTAAGCTTAACTTTAGTCCGATATATCCATGTGTTCCCCTTAACAGGCTGCTATGCTCCCAGTGTATCTCCAGTTTGTCTGCCAGGTGTTTGAAGGAAATAAGGATCATAAATACATTGAACATTTGCTGCAGCAAAGGATAATTGGCATGATGATGGTGAGACAAGTAGATGACCATAGGCAAATACATTGTATTGTTTAGAAATGATCTGTAACTGGAAGGCCTTTCGATACAGCTTTGACTTGTGTATTAATTCCCATCTCAAAGCGGTTCAAAACCCTAAACATCTTCTCCATCTTGTAACTGGATCCTATGGCCTAGGATACCTGCTGGTATTAAAAACCAGAGACATCAAGTGGGTGTCTAGCCGATGACGTTCTTGTAATATGGTATGCTGTAACACTATCTATATAGCACTTAGCAACTCACAGTAATACTGCTTAAATGGCTCTGTTGTAAAGTATTTGTGCATCCCACCTTGCATTGCTGTCTGGAATTATGCAATGTCATTGTTGGGGATATATATTGATGACTTAAATAAAGTTTTCTTTTGCTGGGTAAATGTGCTTTTAAAGGAAATATTCTTTACTCTGTGGTGGGGGTTGGGGGCTGTGGGGCGGGGGAGGCTTAGTTTGTGTTTCATATATGTTCCATATCGGATTCATTAAAAGTTTGAATATACCTTTTGTATCGGATTCATTAAACATTGAATGTATTGTTTATTCATTGATTTTAAAGCCATAAAAAATGATTATAATATATAAACTATATTATATTACACTTATAAGGATATAAACGTTACAGAACATAACAAAGTGGAAAAAGTATATGGAAAATCCATCAGAACACAATACACACAATCCAGGACATGTAAAAACCACAGGCCTTGTAATAGAAGCTAAATAGACTAAATAGAGGTAAATAAATTATTGCTTTGTAGTAAAAGCTATTTTATTTCATTTTTTTTTTTTTTTGACATTCTTTATTTTTGCTATGCACATGTTTTCTTTCTATACAGATGAGAGGGTGCTGTTGCTGTTCCCTTCTCTTGTCTTGAGAAATCAGTCTGTGTGCAATAAGTTCTGGCAAAAATGACAGAATGTAACCGTACGTTCACAGTTTAATTTACTGTATATCCCCCATTGTTCTTGTTCTTAATTACATATTTGTTTAATAAATTGTTATTAAAGTTGTTATTGTTATTAAAGTAAGTCACCAACATTTTTTTGAGAACAATTCCGCCCTTGGCCACACCCCCACTCGCACCTTACGATTAACATGTCCTTTGTCCTTGTGGTATGTTGGGAGGTAATTATTCACAAAAGGGGATCGCCGTTCTTGGAAGAAAAAACCAACCCGTATTATTATTTACTTATAAAGTGACACCAAGTGCTGTGTAATAGGTGGACTAACAAACAAGTAGTTGCAACAAGACAAGTTGGACACACAGGAACAGAAGGTGCTGAAAGCCCTCTTGTAACTAACTTACATTCTAAGCCTATAAAAGAAAAAAACACAAAGTAACTGTAGAGCCTTAAAATAAGTAATAATTAATTAAATACCAAGCTCCTGTCAATCTCCTGAATAACTAATTTACAGAGAATGGTTACCAACAAAAAAGGGAGAAAGCTCTTGAGTTTACAGCTGTGAAGCCATGTCCTTTTGTGTGTTTGTTTATTGAGAAACACAAAGCATATAAACGTTTATGATCCTAAACCCTTTTTCAATTCAAACATGTAAATCTGCTTTGATTTTAAAGTTGTTATATTTCCACTTCTAAATATTACTTTTGTCGTAACTATAAAGTTCTAAATATAAAAGGAAATGCTTTAAACACAAACTAATTCTCACAATGACATACCCACTGTGATCACAAGGTGGCAGATAAACACTGTAGTGTAGATGGAATAGCTAATGCATCCACAAGGTGGAGGTAAATGTTGTGTATGGTAGTGAGCTGATCCTTGAGTTTTGGTGTTTTTTTTTTTTTATTGGGTTCCAGGAGTTTGTATTCAATAAGTCTTTATTAAAAGATGAAAAAATAAAAACAAAAAGGATACAAATGCAATGGCGTGTAAGCACTTAGATTATCGCTAGGTAAAACAAAGCTTTCCTCTCATAATATGTAAAGGGAGAAAGGAAGTCAGGGGTTCTTCACGACCGCAAAATAAGGCCACAGCTCGAGTGGGTAAGTTAAATCTCTCTTTTCAATTCTCTATCAACTGGCTCATAGTTTGAAACTCTGTGAAATGAAATATTCAAACCAATAAAAACATTTTTAATGTAATACCTCTCTCAATTTAGATTCCCCTAATGCTAGGTTCTCCAGTTGCTCAAACTGCTTTTGCTGCGTTCACTCGTCTTTAATATGTTTTTACAGGCCAGGTCGTATAATAAACGAGAAGAACCTTAGAAGCCAAACAAAGTGGCTTATCTGTCATGTTCTCATCCGTTTGCACATTTTTCTCCGGTAACCCTAAATTAGGGGCTAATAATAACAAATATGAGGAAACTAATGCCAGCCGTTTCACACCTCCATCACCGTTATGAAATACATGTAATGGCTTATTTCCAACTGGATAATGTTCTACATTGTGTCAGCTTTTTTACACGTCTATCACCCTTCTAAAATCCAAGTAATGGCTTATTTGCAGCTGGATCATGTTCTGCATTGATGTATGGCTTCCATGTGAGAGAATGGATTGTAAGGATTTTATAGTACCACTAGGTGTGAGGAAGTAAAAGGTTCTTGGTTTGTTGACCTCAGGCAACATCAGTCTTGCTGTTCCTGGTAGAATTGTCCAATAAAGTTAAGAGTGTTTAGGAAAGTAGTAAGATAGTACTTAGGACCTATTCTATACTACAGGGAAGTAGTTTTGCCCACTGAGGGGGGTTTATCATAGTAACCCTTCAGCCTTCTCCAGAGTCCAGCATTGGAACTAGATTAATGGAGAGAAAATCCCCCTCAAAATCAACCCATAGCTTTGATATCTGTGCAATGCTCCAACCAACTACTTTTGTGAGATCTGCTGATATCAGATTTAGCAAACCCCACCCCCTACGCAGATAAGGACTAATGGAGCTATGTTCCAGGCCCATGTAATGTTTTATTATTTATTTTTATTACTAATATAAGGACTAATGGAGCTAAAGTTCCAGGCCCATGGAAGCTTTTTATTATTTATTTATTTTTATTACGAATATAAGGACTAATAGAGCTAAAGTTGCAGGCCCATGGAATGTTTTATTATTTATTTATTTTTATACCTCTTCACATATTCTTGCTTTGTGCAAAGGTAATTAAGTATGGAAACTCCGCCCATACCCCACCAGATACATGATACCTGGGAGGCATGGCTGTTTCCGATTTCCGAATTAGTTCCATCATAATTGTCAGCACCAGGTCTAATGGACTCTTTATCCAGGCCTGTCACCATGTGTTTAGACAAAGTTAAAAGGGATTACACCAAGCTCGGGGAATTGTTATGCCAAATCAACCGCCAAAAACTTGATTTGACGGACATGAAAAAAATATTTTGCCACATTGATGTGACGCGTTTGAAAAGATACAGTCATGACAGATACCAATCCATGATAAATTAAATTCTGCACATATTATCAGCAATGTTTTCTCTACTTTTTCTTAGTTTGTGCGCACATACATTTTCACTTGTGCTTAAATTTTTCTGACTCAAAATGTTTGTGCGAATGTAAACATTGAAATTGTTTCTCAATAATTTTGGTACAGGGCAGCCTCTCTCTCAGGGTTTAAACAACTACATCACAGTATTACTATGTGATAAAGTACTAGTAGTAGTTACCCAACAGCATCACTGTAATGTCAACCCTTCAGACAGACAGGCCTCTCTGCTAATGCCCATTTTGGTCAGCCAGACAGTCCATAGATAGCAATAAGGGCAACTGCACAGACAATAGTGCACACAATTAACATTTATCAAGAAACAATCTCCAGCTTGTCTATAATATACTTCACCACAAAGCTTCAACCCCACCTTCACCACAGTAAATATCAATTTAATTCATAAAAAAAAACTTACTTTTCATTCAGCCAAAAGATAATAAGCTTGTTGTCTGTATTTGGGCAAGCATGTTAATTCCCCAATTTGGGCTGAAACAGTGAACGCAGTCCAATAAATTGTGGTATATACATAATAAATGCTTCTTACACATAAATCAATTTCAACTGACATAATTATAGCAAACACGAGCAAACAGAGAAGAGGAGAGATGTCATGTCACCCACAGAATTAGCAAAAGGAGCTCTTTGCCCAATAAATGGTGAGTTATACATTAATGCTTCTTTAAACCCCCAAAAATAATCTTGATATGATGGAATATGTCTAAAGCATGTCGGAGAAACAACCAACCAAATTCAGCAGGCACCAAAAGCAAACATTATAAGGAAAAATGTCACCCATAGATCTTTGAAAAGAAGCTCTTACCCAAATAAATGGTGATATATACATTATTGCCTTCTAAGAACACAGACGCACAATCTCACTGATTTGAAACACACTCACTGACGGACACAATCTCACTGATTTGAAAAACTTACTGACATACTCTCAATGACAGACACACAATCTCAATAATAATAATAATTTGAAACACAGACTGACAGACACGCACACATTTACACGTTCTTGCACACACTGTCACAAATTCATTTTATTTCTTTATTTTATTTTATTTTTTAGGCCCATCCAGCCTTCCTACCTTTAGGAGAGCTGGTGTGAGTCCTCTCCCTGGGATCCCCTTCCTGGGATTCCCAGTGGGGAATGGATCTTCCATTTTCTCTCTGCTCCCTTGCGATGATGTTGGGGCTGGAGTATCATCATATTCTGGCTACCCGAAACACTACAGAAGGTGCGAGGGAGCAAAAAGCAACTGAAAACACGTCATCAGAGCTTCCTTGTTGCCACCGCCGCCTACCTCCTCTTTTCCTCCCTCTTTGCGGGTGCCCTGAAGTGGCCAACCGGCAACCCTTAGGACTCCCTGTGACAGCCATTGACCCGCTCCTTACAGCGATCCCACCTTATGGTGGGCGTCGCGAGGATCTGTGTGTAGATTGGAAACATCATGTGCGCACACCTTAGAGGGAACAGTGATCATCAGTATACATGAATAATTATCCCAAGTATGATGTGAAGGAACACATGTGATCTTACAATGTATGTTATTAGGGAATATGCATAATCCTCATGTTTACTACTGTATGTCATCATGATCAAACTGTGGCCTTGATTACATTCCATCAGCCAAAAACAGTTGATAAATAAAACTTAAAGTTCATGAAACATTTGTTTTTATTTCATTACCTGTTTCGGATAGGCTGTAAAGTGGTGCTGGACTAATCCCAAATTAGATTTTCACCACCTCGATCCGCACTCACTGCCATCCATAATATACAAACGAAATAGTTCATATGTAGTGCATCGTTATTGGTAAAAATAATTTTAACATGGCATGTAAATAGCAGGCAGACCGCATAATCATCGGGGCATAAAATAACAATATAATGAGAAATAGTGTCCAACCCATCCCCCCCAAACAATCACCAATGCAAAAAATAGAAAGTTAGCCCTGTGCCTGCCGGAAGGGGGGGGGAGGGGTTAGTTGAAAAGAAAGGTTAAATACGTAAGAGGGATCTGTAGCATTTCACTTGTACCCTGATGCTTTATCAACATGTTTTTAGTAATAAAGATGTACTACTCATGAAATATCTCGGCCAGTTACCGCTGGTTTTCCCGGTCATTTTGTACCTCGGTTTTAACCACATTCCTAATTACCCATGATGTTGCTTTTTGGAGGGAATCACCTACCTTAGCCCATCAATCACATGTAACCTCCAGGGAGCTCCCCTTCCTCACCAGGATATAAGCTTTGTTAAGTCACCGAGAGATGGCTCCGACCGCATGGAACTGTTTTTCGGTCAACCTTTACACAATGGTCGGCTGAAACTTTGAGACGATGGTGTTTGGACAATACCTGGTGGATCCAATCACAGGATGGGTCTTCTGTTAAGACCTTTCGAATGATGTCTGACATGTGGGGATACCTTGATGTTTAATATATGTTTTGGGGTTATTTTTGGATTGCACTCTCTGTATCCAGGAGATAATTAGTTTACTGAGCATCAACTCAATTATCTCCCAGACACAAGGAAGCCTGGGCGACTTGAGAGTTTCTGAAAAGAAACCCCATGCATGGTATAAATATGTGTGCTTTTGCCTAATTAAACCAGTTGTTATACCCTTCATCAAGTCTCGACTGATGTTTGGATACATGGGAGTTATAATCACTACTTCACTGTGGGACCTCGGAGAGACTACGACGAAGGTACCACTCTGGGTAAAGGTGCTCCGTCACACTCCTCAAACCCTACTCTGCATGTTATCTTTCTTTACAGTCACTGTATGTTTATTTGGGAACGTGCTTGATCTTATTCAATGTCAGTGTATATAATGAGGAAGCTATCTGAGTCTATGTCCAGTGTGTGTTATCAGAGTATATATCTGCTCCTACTGCTCCAATGGCCGATAAAGTGCAATATAGCTGATTTGGGATAACTGTGTAGATTTGCTTCATTGTCTCCATATGTTTAGTGTAGATTGGAACCTTGGAGCTGAAGGGAAATGGCAGCAGATTCCTTAACGCTGCTCTGGGGATCTTGGCTGATTTTTTTACTAAGAGAAATTCACGGACTGAAAGAGTTATATTGTCCAAAAAAGTGACAGATCTGAAAAAAAGAGAGAGAATGAGTGAAACAGAGAGTAAGGGGAATATTTCTCAGCCAATGGACTCCAGCTAAACAAACACAGTATTGACTTTCCCAGGAGCCAGCGAGAATTCAAGCGTTGCCTAAATTACTTTACAAAGACACAAGGCAGCCTTGAATTTCCAGCTGACTATTTTGGGCTCTCAGTTGTGGCCCCTTAACCACTGAACACTTCTAATCCAGACCAGCAAATGGGCTGACCACCGCTTCCCAGAGTGTAAGAAAAGGGAGAATTCATAATGTAAGTTAATAAATGGTCTAGATGAGATAGTTCTAGAATAAATGAAATTACACATATAAATATATATATATATATACTAAATAATCTTATGGTTTGTTGTGGGGGGAGGGGTGGTGGGAGGAGCAGAGGTTGCAGCCTTTATAAGACTTTTTAATTATTGTATAATTTTCTCCAACTTTTAGAAATGTTTTGGGTATTCACAAAATGTTATTTCATCATGCCTGCAGATTTTAGCAGCATGACAGCCTATTGTCCCATTCTTAAGTATCAGTCATCAAAGATTCCATACAACATGTGACATTTATGTGTTTATGTCAGACTGTGTGTGCCTATGTCACAGTGTGTGTGTGTGGTGTGTCTGAGTGTGTGTATGTCCGTGTGTGTATCTGTGCCTGTGCTAATATGTGTCAGTGTGTATATATTTGTATCTGTGTGTTTAAGTGTCTGTTTATCTGTGTAAGTATGCAGATCAGTGGGTGTGTTTGTCATGGTGTGCATCTGTCTATGTGTGTGCATCTGTATGTCAGGCTGCGTGTGTGTTAGTGTGCATCTGTGTGTCAGGGTGCGTGTGTGGTGTCAGTGTGTGTGTATCTGTGTGTCAGGGTGTATGCATGTGACCGTGTGAGGTGTTAAAAAAAAAATAAAAGCAAAAAAACAAACAAACTAAGCTCTGTCTGGAAAAAATAATTACATTCTATAACTTTAACTTATCTTATGATAAAAGAGAATTTGGGAAAAAATCTGCACGATATATGTTCATTTTTTTCATTTAAAAGTGGAATGCAAGAGGGGGGGGACCTTGCCAACGCAGCCAAGCGGACGCCATCTATTTGGGTTCCAATAGGCTAACTAATTCCCCACGGCAAAAAGGACGAACCAGGGGCAATCCAACCCCAGCGACACCACCATCAGCTTGAGGGAACTGACCCGCTGCCCATTGATGCCCTTCTTCCA